GAACGGACACTGCTGCTGGTGCTGCTGATGAGACACTAGATGTCGAAACCGGCCCAGAGATTTGCTCGTCTTGAATGAATGCTGCTGAAGTGATACACTCCCCGAAGGAGGCCGTGCCTGCGGCTGAAGGAATGTGTAAAATACATGTATGATGTTTTAATGTGGAGGGACGGATACGTGAAGGAGACATTGCCTGTTTATTAAAAAGTGGAATACTCATGGTCTGGCCTCGTGGACTCTGTCGCGTGCAAAGAAGAAGAAGAATACAAATACGCAAAACGACGCATTCATAGCGAGACACAAAGACACAAAGATCACAGTAGGGGGCACCACCTGTGCCCCCTGCTGTGCCAACTTGCTGTGCTTTAGCCACCCGGCGCTCCGCTCGTTGTTGTGAGCGTCGCTCCTCCGCCCTTCGTTGTTGTTGGAGGGCGACTGCCTCCAACTGCCCAGTAGCGTCCTTCACGAGCCTCCTCCACAGAGGCCGATCTTGACACCGCAGGTACCGGTCATCGGCAAGTCCACTCAGCTCCACGTCCTCCTGTATCACGTCACTCCATCTCTTCTCTAGCCCGTGCCGCGCCCGTTTAACCCCCTCGATCCGGCCGAACAAAAGCTGTTTAGGCATGCGGTGGCTGGGCATGCGGGCTACATGACCCAGCCAATGCAGCCTTGCCTGCCGGAGGAGCTCACCGATGGGACCTTGCCCAGATCTTTCAAGGATTTGTGAGCTCCTCACACAATCCAGCCTGGTTAAACCTAGGATGGATCGTAGGCAGACCAGCCTAAATGTTTCCAATCTGCGAAGATGCTCCATTAGGGGGGGGGGGTCCACGTTTCGCAAGCGTAGAGAAGGGATGGAATGACCGTGGCTTAGAAGACCTCAAGCTTAGTGCGGAGCGACAGACCAGGTAGCTTCCACACAGCGTTACGCAACCGATGAAAAGATATTGCCGCTCGACTGATTCGGAGTAAGTCCTCTGCTGTTAAACTGGAGCCAGTCATGAGCACACTGCCCAGGTATGGGAAACTCTCCACTCTCTCCACAACTGCCCCATCACCGATTGGGAGTTGTGGGGGTGGAGTGTCCGATGGTACAAAATACCAAGGCAGGTGCTTAGTTTTGGTGGGGCTGATGGTAAGGCCCCACCTCTTAGTGACATGCTCCAGTCTCAGCAGCAGCGTCTCCAACTCCTCTGAGTGAGCGGCAATTACCAGATCATCGGTATACATAACGTGGTTGACCAATAGGGAGCCATCCCTTGACCGCACCCGGGTATCGATCAGCCTCCCATTGTACTGTATGTGTACCAGATGGAAATTCCTCTGATATTAAATAATGTGGGAGCCAGGGACATCCCTGTCGCACCCCAAGGTGAACAGGGAATGACTCCGACTCCCGGCCACGTACTTTTACCCGGGGCCGCTCACCATTATGAAGGTCCTTAATGATCGTGAGCAGAGTGTCAGGGACTCCGAAAGCACAAAGAGCCAGAGCCCAGGCCTACTGATGGTATCATAGACCTTGACCAGGTCAATAAAGCAGAGATGTAGGTCTTGTTGGAATTCCCTACACCTCTGCTGTAGCAGACGGACGGGAAATATGGCATCTGTGCAGGACAGCCCTTTCCTGAAACCGCATTGGGGTTCTGCAAGCCTCTCCTCAGCGTGCCTAGCAAGGACCTTTTCCGGCACACTGAGGAGTGAGATGCCCCTGTAGTTGTTACAGTCTGTGCGGTCCCCCTTCTTAAAGAGGGGGACCGCCAGGGCATCCTTCCAATCCTGCGGAACCCGTCCAGTGGCCCACACTGTTGTTATGATGTCATATAGGGCAGTCTGTGCACAAACGCCACCCTCCCTCAGCATTTCGCTTGGGAGATCATCTCTGCCCGGTGCCTTTCCGGGTCTCAGACTCTGGATCGCCTTCAGTACTTCCTCAACGGATGGCACCTCAGCCAGCCACTCACAGGGGGTGACTTCTTCCAATATTTGAGGCACCGCAGCCTCAGCAGGGTCATCCTCACTTTGTGCCACGATGTTTTCCTGGCTGAGGGATGTCCCCTCCCCTAGGTCCTTACAGAAATGCTCAGCAAATCTGCAAACCTGTTCCTGGGGGTCGGATATTGGATCACCGTCCTTTCCCTTAATCATGGTAATAGGTGTGGCGCTGCAGGTTACTTTTTTGATGGAGTTAAATAGGGATTTGTGATCGCGGGCCATTGAGGCAGACTGCATCTCCTCAGCAACCCGCGACCACCACCCATCCTTGCAGCGCCTCACGGCTCTCCGAACCTCCGAGCGAAGGCTGTGATAAGCCTCCTCATTCTCTGACGTGGGATGCTGTAGCCGATGAGAGTGGGCCTGTCGCTTTTTCTCAACCATCCAGACTTCCCCAGAGCCAGGGTCTCTGGGGAGGACTGGACCGCGTACCCAAAGCAGCCATTGCAGCTGCATGAGTCACAGTCCTAAACCTCGCCCATCTACTCTCGACATCAGGAGGAGTGGGGGACGATGCCAACCCCAGCCGCAAGCGATGATGAAATTCTCGCTTGCAACTTCCATCAGCTAGCTGAGACCAGGCCACCTTAGGTTGTAATGGGGTCCTGAGTGTACACCCACCACCGGAGTGGAAGAATGGCAGGCGCATCTTACAGATGACTAGTCGATGGTCAAAGGGCAGATCAGCTCCACGGTAGGTTCTGATGTCAATGACATGGGCCCGCATCCGCTGTTCCGTTACTATGTAGTCCAGCAGATGTTCTTGCTTGGACCCGGCATGCATCCATGATGCTGTGTGGTTGCGCCGATGCCGGAACAGCGTGTTGGTAATTACAAGCCCATGGGCTGCACAACAATCTAGCAGCCTCCTGCCGTTGTTATTGAACTGATCTGGCCCATGCCCTCCAATCACTCCCGACCAGGTGCCAGCATCATGACCAACTCGGGCATTGAAGTCACCCAACATGATGACTCTATCCCGAGGGGCCACTTTAGCCAGCACCTGTGACAGGAGGTCATATAAGGCATCTGACTCATCGGCCTTGCCTGCATCCCTCCACCGATGTTCGTCTTCGGTGGGGGCATAAGTAACCACGACCACCACTCCTCGCCTCCGGTTGATGGAAAGGCGAGCCCACGTCTAAAAAAAAATAACACACGAACACACACTAACATACACACACACGCGCGCGCAGACACTCGCGCGCGCGCAGACACTCGCACGTTCAAAAGCACGCACACTCACTCTGACACAAGCAGCAGCCTCCTATCCCCCCCGTCCACACCCCTCCCCCGATGAACTCGGAGGAATCTCTTCGGCACGCGCTGAGATGTTTATCGTCGCCATTGGGTGAGCGACGCGGGGGGGGGGGGGGTGAGACGGGGCACTGGGTCCCCGGGGTTACTGTGCCACTCGAATGGTACCCCGAGGCTCTTCGCGTGCGGAATGCTTCACCATTGAAGACGTCTTGCACGCCCACTAAATGGGGGACGGCGGTTGTGGCGGTGTCGGTGGTGGTCGTGGGGAGGGAGGGGGCTCCGCTGATCTACGATGATCGATAATGAGTGGGGGAGGGGGGGTGCGAGATTATCTGAACCGGTCCTGGGCCCTCCCCCCTAGGTCGACTCAGCCTCAAACGATTACTCTGATGCGGTGCAGTGTACCGGCCTTCATTAGCGCTACTCGCTACCAACAGCACTTGCCCCAACAGTCTGTTGAGGCTATACAGGTGGGAGTGGAGTCTTTGTCTTCGTATAGTTCTGTATGGATTTTCCATCCCCCTACCCACCCGGCCTGCTTCTCGTTCGCGACGTAGCGGCCTCTAGCGGCTGCTGGGTTCGGTCATTCTATGACATTGCCAAGCCACAATCGCTCGTGGAATTATTGCCGAACCGGTCTGGTAGTTCCCCCCCCCCCCCCCCCCCCCCCGCGGTCGAATCAGCCTTAAATCGAGTGGGGGCGCCTCCCGCGAGGCCCCCTTTTCATCGTGCACATAGCGGCCTTTGTGTCTGGGGAGACAAAGGCGGCCGGGCCGTGGCTCCTGGCCCGCACCAGACCGCGAGTGTTGGCTCGCCAGCACTCGCGTCAAACCGCCACGATCGTGTGTAGCTACACGGGGAATCGCCTCCTTGGTGGTAATAATGTAACGCACACTGTGACCGTGTCGGGGCTCTTTACATAATTGTTACTCTGTGTCTGTCTGCCTCTGTGTGTGTCTGTGTGTGTGTCTGTGTGTATCTGTATGTGTGTGCTGCCCCGGATGAAACTGGTTGCCGGATGAGACTGGTTGATGTTGGTGGTTGATAGTCGTGCTGATGGTGGTGGTGGTGGCACCTGGGTCTGTCTCGTGAATTTCCGACGGCTTCACGTGGTCTCAAAGTGCACCTAGCTTGGTACAAGCGTCGTGGTGACGTCACCGCCACTCAGGGGTGGAGTCCGTTGCTGTTGTGTGGTTGGCTGTGTGGTTGTACTCGTGGTGCTGGTGGTGGTGGTGATGGTGATGAAAGTGGTTGTGATGTTGGTAGTAATTAAAGTGGTGATGATGTTGATGGTGGCGATGATGATGACGATGAAGGAGGTGGTGTTTGTTGGTGGTGGTGATGATGATGGAGGTGGTGCTGGTGGTTATGATTGTGATGGCTGTGATACTTGTAGTTCTGCTGATGATGGTGGTGTTCGTTTTGGTTGTACTAACAGTGAAGATGATGGTCGTGGTGATGATGGTCGTGGTGATGATGGTAATGATGATGGTGGTGGTGATGATAATGACACGAATAATAGTGATGGTAGTGATGATGATGATGATGGTTGTACTGATAGTGATGATGATTGTGGCGGATGTAGCCACCGGAATTACAGCGCTGTTGCATCAACAAGTCAGATATAGCATGAGGTGATAGGACAGTTGCTTATGCTTAAAGCAGTCTGAACCTCCCACTCACCTACCCACCTCCACCCACCCACTCACCTCCACCCACTCACCATCTATAAAACGCACAGCTCACACGCGAGACGGACGGAGGAACAGGAACGCCCACGGCCGATCAGTCGCCGCTCCCTTCGCAAACAAAGTGGTTCCTCGCCGTTCGTGTTGCGAGCGTGTCGCTTGCTAACTCGGCAGCCGAATGCGTGGTCTTACACAACGGGACGTCAGGGCTGAATCCTTTATTTCGGTATCGCCCTGGTGCCACGTGGTGGCTGTCAAACGTCGACCCGAATCGCCTTCAAACGTTGGTGTAGACACGCACACGGGCGACTTAAATCCGACTGCGAGCGATCTTCTGGCACCGAAGGTAAGGCGCACTGGGCAGTCAACACGCACGGGTATTGGCAGGGCACGCCACAGCAGGAATCATGGGGCCCAAGCGAACGGTTAGAATCGCAGGAGCTGTCCCGGCTATAAACAGTTCGTAAATGCATTCAAAAGGGGAAGACTCCGAGCGAGCAGTAGAACGCACACGCGAGATGAGACGTCGAATCGATATTCGTCCAGCGGTGGATAGACCACGCTCGCGATGTGAAGCCCACGGTCTGTGTCCGCTTGGGACTTTCACTTAGAGGGGGGAATGGGCGCGTGGCTTATTCGAGAACACGGCCATAGTTGGGGGGGAGGGGGGGATCGTGCTGGTCTCCATCCAGCAACGGGATAGACCACGAAAACGACGACACAATATTGTGTACGCCGACGGTGCCTCTGAACGGTGCCTGACGGCGTTACACAACGGGACGGAAAAAGAGGAGCACATGGCGTAGAGGACATTCGTCGACTCATGGCCTCGTTCAATCCGTAAAATAAGAGTGGCTAGGAGATGTTAACTACCTCGCCTGGTATACAGGAGGTCGTGGGTTCGATCCCGACCCTGATGCCTGATGTGTTTTTGGAGTTTGCGGTGTCTCTCTCTCATCATCATCACAGTGGCTAGGAGATGTTAACTACCTCGCCTAGTGTACAGGAGGTCGTGGGTTCGATCCCGACCCTGACTCCTGCTGTGTTTTTGGAGTTTGCGGTGTCTCTCTCTCATCATCATCACAGTGGCTAGGAGATGTTAACTACCTTGTCTGGTATACAGGAGGTCGTGGGTTCGATCCCGACCCTGACTCCTGCTGCATATTTGGAGTTTGCGGTGTGTCTCTCTCTCTCATCATCATCACGGTGGCTAGGAGATGTTAACTACCTCGCTGGGTATACAGGAGGTCGTGGGTTCGATCCCGACCCTGACTCCTGCTGTGTTTTTTGTAATTTGCGGTGTCTCTCTCTCATCATCATCACGGTGGCTAGGAGATGTTAACTACCTCGCCTGGTGTACAGGAGGTCGTGGGTTCGATCCCGACCCTGACGCCTGCTGCTGTATATTTGGAGTTTGCGGTGTCTCTCTCTCCGTTGCCTCGTGGATTTTTTTCTCCGGGTCCTCCAGGTCCCCCCCCCCTCCACATTTTGAATCAACATCACGCGTGTGGAGTATTTGACTGCTGATATAAATTCCCACGAAATGACGAGATGCCCAATTCGTTGAGCGGATCATTTGTGACAGCCACGTCGCTTCTGAAAATTAACTAAATAGCTCAGTGGGCCCTTACCTGGTAACAATAAAAAATATTTATATATAGTTGAGTTTTGAGTGGAACTTGGTCGGAACTACGATGATGATGATGGCGATGTGGACGATGGTCGAGACTAATTACGGAACGAAAGCCCAAGGGAGGAAACGCAGCGTCCGAGCGAAGGAGGACGTCAACCGGGGGGAGATGAAGCGATGAAATGAAACACGGTGGTGTTCAGGTGCTGGCTTGAATTGGTAGATCACGTGTTCGTGAAAGAAGGGGGTGGGGGAGGGATGGAGGTGGTTTAACGGTAAACTATAAACTTTTTATTTCACCAGGTAAGGCCCCCACGAAGCTGCTTCTTTTACAGACGCTAGCTGGCTGTCACAAACGATAGCGGCTCGACGAATTAGCCCCCCCTCGTCGTCACGTGGAGATTTTAGAGCAGGTCGGAAAATACTGTAGACGCGGAACGCCGTGCTTCTCCGCGTGGACGAGAAAAACCAGAGGACCCGGATAAAGATCAACACGACCACGGCGAGAGAGAAACACGCGAACTCCAAATATACAGCCGCAGGTGTCAGGAGTCGGGATCGAACCCGCGGCCTCTTGTATACCAGGCGAGGTAGTTAACATCTCCTAGCTCCCGTAGTGATGGTGAGAGAGAGAGAGACACCTAAGTCCCGCTTGACTCCCCTCGATTCCAAACATGTACGGCGTGTACACGAAACACGTGGAATGGCTTTAAAAGTTGTATAACCTCTGTTAGATGTTGATGCCGCCGGTTTTTCACGTTCTGCAGACGTAGATGCAACTAGTTTTTCATATTCTGCAATTGTAGATGCCACTGGTTCTTCACGTTCTGTATATGTAGATGCCACTGGTTCATCATGTTCTATAGATGTAGATGCCATTGGTTTATCATGTTCTATAGATGTAGATGTCACTGGTTCATCATGTTCTATAGATGTAGATGCCACTGGTTCATCATGATCTGTAGATGTAGATGCCACTGGTTCATCATGTTCTATAGATGTAGATGCCACTGATTCATGATGTTCTGTAGATGTAGATGCCACTGGTTCATCATGTTCTATAGATGTAGATGCCACTGGTTCATCATGTTCTGTAGATGTAGATGCCACTGGTTCATCATGTTCTGTAGATGTAGATGCCACTGGTTCATCATGTTCTGTAGATGTAGATGCCACTGGTTCATCATGTTCTGTAGATGTAGATGCCACTGGTTCCTAATGTTCTATAGATGTAGATGCCACTGGTTCATCATGTTCTATAGATGTAGCACTGGTTCATCATGTTCTATAGATGTAGATGCCACTGGTTCATCATGTTCTGTAGATGTAGATGCCACTGATTCATGATGTTCTGTAGATGTAGATGCCACTGGTTCATCATGTTCTGTAGATGTAGATGCCACTGGTTCATCATGTTCTGTAGATGTAGATGCCACTGGTTCATCACGTTCTGCAGATGAAGATGCCACTGGTTCATCACGTTCTGCAGATGTAGATGCCACCACCGCCATCTATTGCGCGGTGGTTGAACTTACGACTCTCGTTCCGAGCAGGCAACTGACATACCGGTTTGTTCGTACCTCTGAAAGTTCGTAAGTCGAGTGTTCGTCAGTAGAGGAGTCCCTATACAGCAGCAGGGTCCCTAAGGGATTTTTCACGACTCACAAACGAGGTATATTAGTTTCAAGTTTCATTTATTAGTAATAGCCCTGTGAGCCATGCGGCTCTTAAGTCGGGTGCAACCGCAACAAACAACATTTGAATACAGAACATCTTAAAGCGACAACGCGTAACAGAAACATCCTGGTGTTAAACGAAACGCAGGGTGCAGGTGTCATCTGGAACGTTAGGTACAGGCGCACTGCAGCCCCCACAGTTTCGTCTCGCAGTGGCATGAACGCAAGCGAATCGAGCATCAGAAACTTGATTTAGACTGCGTGGAGGAATCCGATAAGCTACGAATCTCTTGTTATCACAGATGGCGGGTCCGCAATGTAAACCTTCGGTAGAACGAGGCGCCGGGGGGATATGGTGGAGCTTGCCAGCAACTGCGCTTGTGTTTTGGTTGAATGATGTAAGTGGAGCTGGGGGAAGGGGAGGAGACCAAGCTGAAACGTGGACCAGCAATTCGGAAAAACGTTTAAATTTTTACCAAACAAGCTTTGAGCAATTGGACGTTCATGAGTGATAAGGAGGCGCTTTGACGCGTGGGCTTTCGCGACCGATCCTGTGCAACTCTCGCTGTGGCCCGATGAGGCTGGTGTTGTCGTGATTACCGGCGAAACGTCGTCACGTGTTGTGCAGTAAGGTTTACTGTCCGACGCACCGGGCAGGAGTGCTCAACTGCTAACGAATTGGCACCTTCTGCTTACGTGACAAACCTTTAACCAACTGGACTTTGACGGGTGGTGGCGGGTTTCACGACACACTTATATGTACGCGCTCCAACTCCCCCCACTCCCCCCCACAAATAACCTCTTATGGATAAGGAGGCACTGCTGAGGTTACGGATGGGAGTTTAGAAATAACTAAGTTGTCCTTTCGGTGATTGGCAGGAATTGCTATTCTAAGATGATATTTTGTCGTGATGAAGACGGCCCCGTTGAACACACGAGTAGTTTTCCTTGCACCATCATAGCGCAGCACAGCTGCGAACCCGGCGACCCGAGTTCGATTCCCGCTCACGGTAAACCAAAACCGGTGACGGTTCTCTGAACCGCTCCTGGGCCTCCTCCCCTAGGTCGACTCGGCCTCAAATGAGTACCTGGTGCGGTGTGTAAAAAAAAAAACATCACTACTCGGGAGACAAAGGCGGCCGGGCGTGGTGCTGGCCACCCAAACCCTCAATAGGTGCTCGCTAACAGCACTTGCCCTATCAGTCTGCTGAGGCCTACGCGGGGGATATTTGTCTTTTGTTGATGTCGTCCCTTCGATGTGTTGGCGCGGACGACGTCTCGCAGCGGTCGCGCAGAAAGAGCTGCGGAAGAGTTTTAGAAACGAATTTTTACGTCTTGCAAATTATGCGTGGAACTGTAATCACCAAGTAGTTTGGTTTTTAACGAGTCCTACTGCTTAGAGGGGTGTTTTGTTGTCGCCGGGGTGGGGGGGGGAGCATGAAGCGGAATCTTTGATCAAATTAAACGGGTGGCGATGGTGTAACGAAAATGTGCGAAACAGTACTCATAATCCACGATAATCATACGATTATCGTGGATTATCGCACGATATATCGTAGTATCGCCATCGTATATCGTACGATGTATATCGTAGTATCGCCATCGTATATCGCACGATATATCGTAGTATCGCCATCGTATATCGTACGATGTATATCGTAGTATCGCCATCGTATATCGTACGATGTATATCGTAGTATCGCCATCGTATATCGCACGATATATATCGTAGTATCGCCATCGTATATCGCACGATATATCGTAGTATCGCCATCGTATATCGTACGATGTATATCGGAGTATCGCCATCGTATATCGCACGATATATCGTAGTTCCGCCATCGTATATCGCACGATATATATCGTGGTATCGCCATCGTATTTCGTACGATGTATATCGTGGTATCGCCATTGTATATCGTACTGTAGCCATGCTCACACTGAATAAACAACAATACAAAGCTCACAACATTCGTCAATAACACTTGAACAGCATTTGCTCTGAATAAAGGGTTATTACCTGAAACGTCGCCTATTGTCTATACATACAAAGCTCTCAAGGCCTGTTGTTGTTGTTCGCGTGCCACTGCCAATGTAGGGCCATCATCACCACCACCACCACCACCAAATCCTTTACCGTTACAAACTACGTCTTCTAAATACTCTTTGGTTCTTTCGGTAAAGTCACGTGGGTAGAAAAGTAACAGATCACGTGACGTTTCGATCGCAACACAAGCAACCGTCATCAGGTGGGACAATCACAGCAAGAACAAACTGCTGACGTAGGCGAGAGATCTGCCGTGGTCATATCGTAGGCCTCGCTTGCTTCAGCAGTTTGTGCTTGCTGCTGTGGTTGTCCCACCTGATGACGATTGCTTGTGTGGCGATCGAAACGTCACGTGATCTATAATTATTCTTCTACCTCCGCGATGACTTTACCGAAAGATCCAAAGAGTACGGAATTCCTGCAGCCACGAGAGCTTCAAATCAAGATTATGACGGCTCTAAAAATCTGTTGTTGTGCATTACCGCTAACCAGATGAAAGGAGAAACGCAAAAACAACCGGTTACCGCTTTGGCGTGCACGCAACACCACAGTCAGTCGATGTGGTGGGGTCAAGTGTGGGCGCCCAGCGTGGAAGAGTAGGCCAAGTACCCTCGAGCGCTCCCTCCAGCGCAGGGGTCGGCATCCCCTGCGGCTCCGGAGCCGCGTGCCGCTTTGTGACGTCAAGATGCCTCTTTGTGACGTCGTCTGTTCAGGACCCACCACCACCGTCTCGTGGTCACCACCACGGTGCGTTGTGTGCACCCTCTCGGGATATTAAGTGGGGGGTTTTAATTTCATTTTTACCGAATTCTACAAAAATGCCTCCGTTGTTGTTGTTTGGTTGCCAACCTCCTGGTCTGGTGGAGGCACCTCCACCCCCCTTTCGCGAACAGTGCAGTTGCAGGGGTTGCGCCTTTACCTCTTCACGAGTGCGTGTGTGTGTGTAGTAGGTGTCTGTGGTCACGTGTGTGTGGTAGGTGTCCGTGGTCACGTGTGTGTAGTAGGTGTCCGTGGTCACGTGTGTGTAGTAGGTGTATGTGGTCACGTGTGTGTAGTAGGTGTCTGTGGTCACGTGTGTGTAGTAGGTGTCCGTGGTCACGTGTGTGAAGTAGGTGTCCGTGGTCACGTGTGTGTAATAGGTGTCTGGTCACGTGTGTGTAGTAGGTGTATGTGGTCACGTGTGTGTAGTAGGTGTCCGTGGTCACGTGTGTGTAGTAGGTGTATGTGGTCACGTGTGTGTAGTAGGTGTCTGTGGTCACGTGTGTTTAGTAGGTGTCTGTGGTCACGTGTGTGTAGTAGGTGTCTGTGGTCACGGCAGAGTGGTCAAGTGACGCGGCGAGCTCCGTCTTTACTGTACACCACCGTCATCATCGTCACCATCATTGTATCCCCACTTCCAATTAGCACTGTTGGCTATGGACAGTGCAAACAAAGTTGTACATGCATATAGTATAATGGACCCCGCAGTGGCGAAATGTTAACTACCTCGCCTGGTATACAGGAGGTCGTGGGTTCGATCCCGACCCTGATGCCTAATGTGCTTTTGGAGTTTGCGTGTCTCTCTCTCATCATCATCACAGTGGCTAGGAGATGTTAACTACCTCGCCTAGTGTACAGGAGGTCGTGGGTTCGATCCCGACCCTGACTCCTGCTGTGTTTTTGGAGTTTGCGGTGTCTCTCTCTCATCATCATCACAGTGGCTAGGAGATGTTAACTACCTTGTCTGGTATACAGGAGGTCGTGGGTTCGATCCCGACCCTGACTCCTGCTGCATATTTGGAGTTTGCGGTGTGTCTCTCTCTCTCATCATCATCACGGTGGATAGGAGATGTTAACTACCTCGCCGGGTATACAGGAGGTCGTGGGTTCGATCCCGACCCTGACTCCTGCTGTGTTTTTTGTAATTTGCGGTGTCTCTCTCTCATCATCATCACGGTGGCTAGGAGATGTTAACTACCTCGCCTGGTGTACAGGAAGTCGTGGGTTCGATCCCGACCCTGACGCCTGCTGCTGTATATTTGGAGTTTGCGTATCTCTCTCATCATCATCACGGTGGCTAGGAGATGTTAACTACCTCGCCTGGTGTACAGGAGGTCGTGGGTTCGATCCCGACCCTGACGCCTGCTGCTGTATATTTGGAGTTTGCGGTGTCTCTCTCTCCGTTGTCTCGTGGATTTTTTTCTCCGGGTCCTCCAGGTCCCCCCCCCCCCCCCCCCTCCACATTTTGAATCAACATCACGCGTGTGGAGTATTTGACTGCTGATATAAATTCCCACGAAAATTAACTAAATAGCTCAGTCGTGAGAATTTTTATTGTTTTATATATATTTTATTATTTTATTGTTTCCCTTCAACGTGACTTTACCGAAAGAGCTAAGAATATGAATTACTGCAGTCACGAAAGCTTTAAATCATGTCTTATGGTTGTTATTATTTGACTTGCATCCCACTGGGATGTTTTGCACACAGCGTTGATATATGGTGTGTTATCTGGATTTTTCTGTTGCATGTAGTCACTTTCAGATGTTTCTCTTGTTCATATTTGTGTTTTGTTGCGAGTCAAGAGCCAAATGGCTCACGGGGGGTTCTATCTAATAAATGAAACTGAAAATTTGCATCAAGCAATTTCACATTCAGGTGGTCAGGCCAGATAACCGCGGTCGGAGCAAGCGGAGTGTACCGCTGTGATGTTCACTTTCGTGTTTTGTGTCTCGGGGCATTGCGTCCTTCCACGTTGGACTACGTGTCTGTCCTGAGTGACTCACAGTCTCACGCTACTGGAGATTTTTTTTTTTTTTCCACGAGCCCAGCAGGTATCAGCCTCTGCTGCCGCTGAAGCTTTGTCCAGCGGATGCGGTTTAGGGTGGGACGTTCAAACCCAGGTGTTCTTGCTGCGTGTGGCTCTTTCACAACAAGCTGGTGTTTGTCCGCGAGACCTTTTGAATTCTATTCCGGCGTCGTTGTCGGTTAAGCGCACGGATCCAAAACGGACGTGCCGTGACCTTGCAAGCGACGGCGAGTGGACGTCATCGTGATGAGTGGGGAGAGGCGACTGCTCCACCCCCACTCCCCCCACCCCCAACGATTCTGAGCACGTTCCCCTTGCTCTGTGTGTGTCACCATGGCGTGGCATTTCTCTTTTCTCGCCGGACACCGGAGAGCCCCCATCAGCGCCCGCCACGGCCGCGTCCCCCGTCTATCGTGGTCCGTGCCACGGGAACGCCGTCGCCGCCACCAACCCCGCCCCAATGTTTGTTCTTTCTCTCTCTCTCTCTCCAGGAATCCGCCGGCCCGAGGATCGTTGAGGGTACCTGCGTCCTCTACCCGTAGCCGCCGAGATGGCGGGGAAAGGGAAGGAGAGCGACGGATTTGACCTGACGCCAACCTTCATTCCCGAGCGAGGTAAACGGTCCCACCGGGCTCTTTGTTTTTAGCGGTGCCCACGCGAAATCCCAAACACTCATCCGTCGCTCCAGTCGGCCAAACGTCCCCAATGCAGCACCGCCAGCAGCAGCAGCGGCGGCAGCGGCGGCAGCAGCCTCTTGGGAAGTAGTCCTTGGGACTCGGTGAGGCATGATCGTAAATAAATCGCACCACCACCACCAAGTCAAGCCGGGGTTGAGCCTGGAGAGTGCTCGGATGGGGTGACCACCGTGCATGCCAGGTGCTATAGGCTCCTGCTGCTGCTGCTGCTGCTTGGATGCTTGGCGGGCAGCAGAGGACAGGGTAGCCCCCCCCCCCCGCCGCCCCCACTGTTGTTGTGCTGTACTCTGTGCGCCGCCCGTCTTCACCAAACCCGCACTGACCAGCACGGTGAAGTACGGTCAAATAACGCCGCGCCACTCGCGCGAGGCCCTAGTCCAGCGGTGGACTGAGAGCGGCGTCGCCGTGAGGCTTCCCCGTGACCTGGTTTCATGACGTCATCCTGAGTCACGGCCAAGTGGCCTGGCGCTTGATTCTCTTTCTGCGTGCGGTGTTTATTTAACCTTTGTGTGTGTGTGCCTCTGTGTGTGTGTGTCTTTGTGGGGAGCGATAGTGTAGCGGTTAGCGCTACGCTACGCTATGAACCTGGCGACCCGGGTTCGATTCCCGCTCATGGCCAACACCAGTGACGATAATCTGAACCGGTCCCGGGCCTCCCCTAGGTCGACTCAGCCTCAAATGAGTACCTGATGCGGTGTGCAAACATTGCCACTAGGGAGACAAAGGCGGTCGGGCGTGGTGCTGGCCACCCACCTCCTCGTGTACCGTTACCGGCCTTCATAGGTGCTCGCTAACAGCACTTGCCCCTACAGTCTGTTAAGGCTATATGGGGGATCTTTTATCTTTGTGTGTATGTCTGTGTGTCTGTGTGTGTGTGTATGTCTGTGTGTGTACACGTTGAACGTCTTTCACGCCGTCTGTAGACAGCCGAGCTTATCGGAGGTGCGGGGGAAGGACAATAAACTAAACACACACGCAAAGCATTTTTGGCTCCAGTGGCCTTTCTAATAACCTTTGTGTGTGTGTGTACCGTGCATACACGACTGTTTGTGTGTGTGTCGTATGTGTACATGTACACATGTTGGGAGCGGTGGCGCAGCGGTTAGCGCATTTAGCTGCGGAGCCGGCGACCCGAGTTAGATTCCCACTCGCGGCCAACATGGGTGACGATTATCTGAACCGGTCCTGGGCCACCCCTAGGTCGACTCAGCCTCAAATGAGCACCTGGTGCGGTGTGTAGTAAACATCGCCACTGGGGGAGACAAAGGCGGCCCGGCGTGGTGCTGGCCACCCACCCCCTCGTGTGCCGTGCCGGCCTTGGTAGTGCCCCAACAGTCTGTTAAGGCTACACGGGGGGATCTTTGTCTCGTGGAGAGCCATGGCGCAGCAGCTAGCACGCTGACCTCTGAAGCCAACGACCCAAGTTAGATTCCCACTCCTCCCCTAGGTCGACTCGGCTTCGAATGAGCACCTACCTGGTGGGGTTGGCAAACCGCAGTAAACGTGGAGCGTTGGGGCGACGTTGGGCCAATGTTGGATCGACGTTGGGCCAACGTTGGATCGACGTTGTGCCAACGTTGGATCGACGTTGGGCCAACGTTGGATCGACGTTGGGCCAACGTTGGATCGACGTTGGGCCAACGTTGGATCGACGTTGGGCCAACGTTGGATCGACGTTGGGCCAACGTTGGATCGACGTTGGGCCAACGTTGGATCGACGTTGTGCCAACGTTGGATCGACGCTGGGCCAACGTTGGATCGACGTTGGGCCAACATTGGCATGTTAACTGCGCGTTGTGTGTGTGTGTGTGTACGTTGTGAACTTCTTTCGCACCGTACGTCGCCAACTGTGCCAATCGGAGGTGCGGCGCAAGGCCTCAATAGGCGCTCCCTGACAGCGCCGGGGTGGGGGGCACGGGGGGGCCCCCTTTTTTTTTTGCGTTGCAGGTAGCATCAAGAATGGCTTCCACAACGCGGGCTTCGAGCGAGACGTGGCAGAGGAGGTCACGAAGAAGGCGGAGAAGTGAGTCCACGGTTCCTTTATTGGGGGGTGGAGGGCGGGCGGAGGAGTGGGGTGAGGCTGGGCTTCTTCGCTGTCTGAACAGTTCGGCGGCAGCAATGAGGGGCGACCTGTCGCTGTGAACCAATGAGGGGCGACCTGTCGCTGTGAACCAATGAGGGGCAACCTGTCACTGTGAACCAATGAGGGGCGACCTGTCACTGTGAACCAATGAGGGGCGACCTGTCGCTGTGAACCAATGAGGGGCGACCTGTCGCTGTGAACCAATGAGGGGCGACCTGTCGCTGTGAACCAATGAGGGGCGACCTGTCACTGTGAACCAATGAGGGGCGACCTGTCGCTGTGACCCAATGAGGGGCAACCTGTCACTGTGAACCAATGAGGGGCGACCTGTCGCTGTGAACCAATGAGGGGCGACCTGTCGCTGTGAACCAATGAGGGGCAACCTGTCACTGTGAACCAATGAGGGGCGACCTGTCACTGTGAACCAATGAGGGGCGACCTGTCGCTGTGAACCAATGAGGGGCGACCTGTCGCTGTGAACCAATGAGGGGCGACCTGTCGCTGTGAACCAATGAGGGGCGACCTGTCACTGTGAACCAATGAGGGGCGACCTGTCGCTGTGACCCAATGAGGGGCAACCTGTCACTGTGAACCAATGAGGGGCGACCTGTCGCTGTGAACCAATGAGGGGCGACCTGTCGCTGTGAACCAATGAGGGGCGACCTGTCGCTGTGACCCAATGAGGGGCGACCTACCTATCGCTGTGACCCAATGAGGGGCGACCTGTCGCTGTGAACCAATGAGGGGCGACCTGTCGCTGTGACCCAATGAGGGGCGACCTGTCGCTGTGACCCAATGAGGGGCGACCTGTCGCTGTGAACCAATGAGGGGCGACCTGTCGCTGTGAACCAATGAGGGGCGACCTGTCGCTGTGACCCAATGAGGGGCGACCTGTCGCTGTGACTGTCGGCGGTTGCCCATCGCCACCCGCGCACGTGCAGGGGGAGCGGCGGAGTCGGCGGTGCCGATGGGTTGGGGGGAGGGGGGTGGCCATTGAGCGGTGGAAGACGAAGACTCGGAATCCTGATTTTACGCTCGAGATTTCCTGTGCGCTATGCAGCCTTTTTTTTAGAAGGGTGTCCAGTCAGGGTGGCGGGGCAGAGAGTTACAACAACAATACAACAACAATACAACAACAACAATACAACAACCAACAACGATAGGAGTGCAAAGTACAGGGAAGGGGAAGCAAAGCGCAAAAAAATAACTTAAACTGCACTTTCACACGTAGGCTTTCGCGACCAGTGTTATTTATAATAAAGGTATTTGGGTTCGATCGCGTTATTTATAAATGTGTCGCAACCCTCCACCACTCGACATGGCCAATCAGCAAGCGAGTGTCACGTTGACAAAAGGCAAATTGTTCACTACTTTAGCCCACCGGTGTGTTGAAGAGTGAATCCACAACGTTTAGAAGTATAATGCAATACAACACAGAGTCGGCTAACATAACAGTCAACACCCTACCTGGTTGATTATCTTTCTTCCAAAGAGTGCTAAATATGAGAGAGAGAGAGACTAAATACAGACATGGAGACACACAGACAGACACATAAGCAGAGAGAGACACAGAGAGAGAGACACACATAGGCGCAGTGTTGTGTATTACTTAACAACACGCTTCCAGGCCGCGCTGAGTCTACAGCGATCACAGCGATTGAAATTGCGTCTCTCCCCCCTCCCCATCTCTCTCTCCCCCTCCATCTCTCCCCCCTCCCCATCTCTCTCTCCCCCCCCCATCTCTCTCTCCCCCCTCCATCTCTCCCCTCTCCCCATATCTCTCTCCCCCCCTCCCCACCTCTCTCCCCCCTCCATCTCACTCCCCCCCATCTCTCTCCCCCCCCCCCCATTTCTCCCCCCCATCTCTCTCCCCTTCCCATCTCTCTCCTCCCCCCATATTTCTCTCCCCCTCCCATCTCTCTCCCCCCCCGTCTCTCTCCCCCTCCCATCTCTCTCCCCCATCTCTCCCCCCCCCATCTCTCTCCCCCCCCCCCCATCTTTCTCCCCTCCATCTCTTCCCCCCCCCCCACCCAATCAGAGACAAGAAGGACAAGAGGCCAAAGGGGGCAGTAGGCGTACTGGAAGTGGTAATTATAATTACTGTACTGCATATATATCTATATATGTATAGTTATTATATATATACACAGGTAAAACATTGCTTCTACCTGTCGTTGTCTCCGCGTCATTGTGTATCGATGTCTCCGTGTCAATGTTACTGTATCATTATGTCCGTGTCTCCATGCCGTTGTCTCCGTGCCGATGTCTCCGTGCCGATGTCTCCGTGCCGTTGTCTCTGCCGATGTGTCCGTGCCGTTGTCTCCGTGCCGTTGTCTCCGTGCCGATGTCTCCGTGCCGTTGTCTCCGTGCCGTTGTCTCCGTGCCGTTGTCTCCGTGCCATTGTCTCCGTGCCATTGTCTCCGTGCCGATGTCTCCGTGCCGATGTCTCCGTGCCGTTGTCTCCGTGCCGTTGTCTCCGTGCCGTTGTCTCCGTGCCGTTGTCTCCGTGCCGATGTCTCCGTGCCGTTGTCTCCGTGCCGATGTCTCCGTGCCGATGTCTCCGTGCCGATGTCTCCGTGCCGATGTCTCCGTGCCGATGTCTCCGTGCCGTTGTCTCCGTGCCGTTGTCTCCGTGCCGATGTCTCCGTGCCGATGTCTCCGTGCCGTTGTCTCTGCCGATGTGTCCGTGCCGTTGTCTCCGTGCCGATGTCTCCGTGCCGATGTCTCCGTGCCGATGTCTCCGTGCCGATGTCTCCGTGCCGATGTCTCCGTGCCGTTGTCTCCGTGCCCGTAGTTCCGGTTCGCCGACGGCCTGGACGTGGCCCTCATGATCGTGGGCCTCGTGTCTTCGATGGCTCACGGAGGAGCCCTCCCCATCATGATCATCGTGTTCGGCCAAATGACCGACAGCTTCGTCCGCAGCGGCATCAACGGTGGGGGGGGGGGGGTCACGACCTCGCGATTCACGACCTTTATTCAGACCGGAGGAAATCCGATGACCCATGAAGCTCTTTTACACAGGCGTCCAGATTCGCTCTCTTCACCTCTCGTTCTCTCCGTCTCTCACCATCGGTCTGATGCTGCCGTGACGCTCTTTTGGCGCGACTGCGGGGGGGCCGCAGCGACTCTGGCCCCCCGTGATGATTCAACCGGATTCTCAAAGACTCACTAGAGTCACTTGGAGAAGGGATGTCGGAGGTAGCTCTGTGGATATATTATCTACTTCTGCGGGTCATTCTCTAACATGGGGAAGTGGGTTAGACTTTGACTTAAAGCTTTCGTGACTGCAGGAATTCATATTCTTGGTTCTTTCGGTAAAGTCAAGTAGATGGAAAGAAATAAGAAAAAAATAAAAAAAATAAAGCAAAATACCCACGGCGTTCCGATCGCGACACAAGCGGCCTTCATCCGGGCGGAGAGACCGAGTTAAAAAAAAAAGACCGCTTTAATTTTTATTTTATTTTATTCTATTATTTTTATTTTCATCTACGTGACTTCACCGAAAGAACTAGGAACATGGGAAGTGGGACCAGCGTCACGTGAAGAAGAGACCTCGGAAGTAGCTCTGCGATATCCGCTTCTGCGGGCCGCTCTCTGCTCACGTGGAGGCGTCCGTGACGCCTCGATGCCGGCAGAGGCGATCCGGGGGATCCAAAGCGCGGAGAGAATCGATGCGAAGCCTCCTCTCTCCTCCATCTCTCTCGCTCGGTGCGTGTGTGTGTGTGTGGCCTGTACCCGTGGGGAGCGGTGGTGCAGCAGTTAGCGCTGCGATGCGCTACGAACCCGGCGGCGCGAGTTCCATTCTCGCGCACGGCCAACGCCGGCGACGATTATCTGAACCGGTTCTGGGACTCCCCTAGGCCGACTCGGCCTCAAATGAGTACCTGGTGCGGTGTGTAGTAAACATCGCCACTTGGGGAGACAAAGGCGGCCGGGCGCGCGGTGCTGGCCACCCACCCCCTTCGTGCGCCGTGCCGGCCCTTCGTAGGTGCCGCTGCTCGCTAACGGCACTTGCCCCAACAGTCTGTTGAGGCTACACGGGGGGGACCTTTGCGTGTAATCCGCGTGGAGTCTCCGCGTGATCAATTCTCGGTGTTCTTCTCCGTGCGCCCTGTCCTGTGCCACAGCCACGGTTCCCGGGGGCGCCAACGGCACCAACGTCACCGTCCCGTCGGCGAACCTCAGCGCCACCGACATGGGCGACTTGCTGCAGTCCGAGATGTCGAAGTGAGCGTCGTCGTTGCCCTGCGGCGTCATCGTCATCGTCATCGTGATCGTCATTGTCGTCGTCGTCATCGTCGTCGCCCTTGTCCTGCGGCGTCGTCGTCGTCATCGTCGTCATTGTCGTCATCATGATCGTCATTGTCGTCGTCGTCATCGTCGTCGCCCTTGTCCTGCGGCGTCGTCGTCATCGTCGTCATCGTCGTCATCATGATCGTCATTGTCGTCATCGTCGTTGCCCTTGTCCTGCGGCGTCGTCGTCGTCATCGTCGTCATCATGATCGTCATTGTCGTCGTCGTCGTTTTGGTCAATGTCACGATCATCATCCTCGTCATGATCGTCATCGTCATCATCATCGTCATGGGTCTTAATGATAATCACCGCCATCATCATCATCATCTTGGTCAGCAACGACATGATCAGCTTTGTCACGGTTATCCTTACCGCCGCCATCATCATCATTGTGGTGCAGCAGCAGCAGCAGCAAGCGCAACAGGAGCAGCAGGAACAGGAACAGCAGCAACAGTAGCAGCAGGAACAGCATCAGGAGCAGCAGTAGCAGCAGCAGAAACCAGAACAGCAGTGGTGGCAGCAGCAGCAGTAGCAGCAGGAACAGCATCAGGAGCAGCAGCAGGTGTGGCAGCAGGATGAGCAGCAGTAGCAGCAACAGGAACCGGAACAACAGTGGTGGCAGCAGCAGGCGTGGCAGCAGGATGAGCGGCAGTAGCAGCAACAGGAACAGCAGCAGTAGCAGCAGGAACAGGAACAACAGCGGTGGCAGCTGCAGTGGCAGCAGGAACAGGAACAGGAGCAGCAGCAGCGGCAGCAGCAGTGGCAGCAGGAACAGCATCAGGAGCAGCAGCAGCAGGCGTGGCAGCAGGATGAGCAGCAGTAGCAGCAGGAACAGGATCAGCAGCGGTAGCAGCAGCGGTGGCAGCAGCAGTGGCAGCAGGAACAGCATCAGGAGCAGCAGCAGCAGGCGTGGCAGCAGGATGATCAGCAGTAGCAGCAACAGGAACAGGAACAGCAGCGGTGGCAGCAGCAGGCGTGGCAGCAGGATGAGCAGCAGTAGCAGCAACAGGAACAGCAGCGGTGGCAGCAGCAGGCGTGGCAGCAGGATGAGCGGCAGTAGCAGCAACAGGAACAGCAGCAGTAGCAGCAGGATGAGCAGCAGTAGCAGCAACAGGAACCGGAACAGCAGCGGTGGCAGCAGCACCTTCCGAAGCGATGCCCACTACGTGCCAACATCAGACGTTTCAAATGGTTATGATGATACCACGACTCGTAATAATGATCAAGCAGCGCAAGGGTTCCTCCTTTTTCAAAGCTCAAGTTTTAATCTTGTCAGAGGGCGCAAGCCGACGGCTGGTGGAGGCCACGGCAGCTCTTAGGGTGAGGGTTATTAGTCCGGCAGCGGATTGAACACGTCGCTCGCGATTTGACGACGACGCAGTTCGACCCCCCCCCCCCCCCCTGGGCGGGCAGGCCTCAACGCCGCAACGTTATAGCGGAGACGAACCGGCAACGGTCCGGCGGGCCCCACCTCGCCGGCATCTGGGAGCCGGCCGCAAAGTGGGAGGGGGTGGTGCCCCGGGGGGCGATGGAAGTAACTTTGGCAACGGTGGAGAACGCGGGAGGAGAGCGGGGGATCGCGCGTTGCTCCTCTCGCCTCCTGAACCCTGACCCCTCCACGCCCGCCCGCCCTGGCCTGCGCAGGTACGCGTGGTACTACGTGGCCATCGGCTGCGCCGTGCTGGTGTCCGCGACGCTGCAGGTGTCGTGCTGGATGCTAGCGGCGGCGCGCCAGTGCCACCGCATCCGCCACCACTTCTTCCGCGCGATCCTCCACCAGGAGATGAGCTGGTTCGACACGACGCAGATCGGCGAGCTGGGCTCGCGACTCACCGAGTGAGCGCCGCACACGCACACGGGAGTCGCTCGCACGCCAAGTCGCGCACGCGCGGAGTCACGTACGTGCACACTGAGTCACGTACACATGGAGTAAAGTACACGCACGCCGTGTGCCCCCTACCGTGCAAACTCGCGACATTTTAGACGCCCGGCGCTCCGCTCGTTGTTGTGAGCATCGCTCCTCCGCCCTCCGCTGTTGCTGGAGGGCGACTGCTTCCAACTGCCCAGTAGCAGCAGCAGCAGCAACAGCAGCGTCCTTCACCAACTTCCCCCCTCCTTGATACCGCCGGTACCGGTCACAGAAAGCTCGCGGTGTCACAAGCGCCATCCTGTTAATGGCACCATCACTCATCCCCTCTCCCACCCCCACCTCCGTCTCTCTCTCTCTGCCATCCTCCCATCGCACAGCGACATCAACACCATCAACGATGGCATCGGCGACAAGATCAGCCTGTTCATGCAGTTCTTCTCCTCCTTCATCGTCGGCTTCATCATCGGCTTCGCCCACGGCTGGAAGCTCACGCTCGTCATCCTCTCCGTGAGCCCGCTGCTCGCCATCTGCGCCTCGATGCTCGCCAAGGTGAGGACGGCGACGCTCCATCGGCGAACGGGCTGGCGGTCACGGCGTGGGCCACGTCTTGACCGCCCGCTCGCTCGCCCGCTCGATCGTTCATTCGTCGACCGTTCGCTCGTTCGCTCGATCGGTCACTCGCCCGATCGCTCGTTCGCTCGATCGGTCACTCGCCCGATCGGTCGATCGGTCACTCGCCCGATCGCTCGCCCGCTCGATCGGTCACTCGCCCGATCGCTCATTCGCTCGATCGGTCACTCGCCCGATCGCTCGTTCGCTCGCCTGCTAGATTGGCTGGATGAGCTCACGCGCTCGCTCCTCTAACCCTCCGTTGTTGTTAGGCGACTGTGTCCCAGTAGCGATTTGGCACAGTTGGCTATGTACGATGCGGAAGAAATTCAATGTACACACACACACACAAACGTGGCCACGTGCTATCGTGCACCGTGGCGGCCTTCATAAGATGCCCGCTAACAGCACTTGCCCCAGCGGGTCTGTCTGTCTCTACGGGTGACCTTTGTCTTTGTGTGCGCGTGTGTGTGTGTGTGCCCGCGTACACCAGCTGCTGGGCTCGCTGACGACAGCCGAACTGACCGCGTACGCCAAGGCTGGAGCCGTGGCCGAGGAGATCCTGATGGCCATCAGGACGGTGGTGGCCTTCGGAGGTCAGCAGAAAGCCGTCGACAGGTGAGCACACGGGCACCACCCCCCCCCCACCACTGCCCCCCCTGTAATGGTGATTTAAGTCGCCCCCTTTTTATGTAATTTTGCACATGCGCCGTCGCTCTATTAACCCTTTCCCGTTCCGATGACGTACGCGATGACGTACGCGTGCCTCATCGGTCCTTGTTACGATTCCGTTGCCCCGCTCCCCTCCACCCACCAAAGAAGACCGCCTGGTCCCAACGAATCCCACCAGCCCCCCCCCCCCCCCCACGCTTAGATTACAGAGGTCACGATACGCAGAGAGGTCACGATACGCAGAGAGGTCACGATACGCAGAGAGGTCACGATACGCAGAGAGGTCACGATACGCAGAGAGGTCACGATACGCAGAGAGGTCACGATACTCCGGGGAGCTTGCCTCCCCCTCCACCTCCCCACCTCCTCCATTGGCCTTGGCCTGCACGGTGTCCACTCCACAGCCCCTCCCGCGGGGCATCCTCGCTGTTGTCATCATTGTCATTGGGAGAGATGCGCAGGGACGCCGCCACGCTCACCGCCACGCTCACCGCCTCGCTCACCGCCACGCTCACCGCCTCGCTCACCGCCTCGCTCACCGCCTCGCTCACCGCCACGCTCACCGCCACGCTCACCGCCACGCTCGCCGCCTCGCTCGCCGCCTCGCTCACCGCCATGCTCACGGCGACGCTCACCGCCACGCTCACCGCCTCCCGTTCCTGTGCTCGTCGCCGTTGTTCCGCACGCCGCGCCGGCGCCGCTGTCCAGGTACAACAAGAACCTGCACGACGCCAGCACGATGGGCATGAAGAAGGCCGTGGCCACCAACCTGTCGTTCGGACTCACGCAGTTCATCATCTTCGGCTCGTACGCCCTCGCCTTCTGGTACGGCACAAAGCTGGTGATCGAAGAGCCCGAGAACTACACCATCGGACGCGTGCTCATCGTGAGTCACACCGCCGCCACCACAGCCACCGCAGCCACCGCAGCACCGCTTCCGCCAGCCTTAGATTGCCGAGGTCACAATGCACCTTCACACCACCACCGCCGCCACCACACCACCTAGGATTGCTGAGGTCACGGGGCATACGCTGGGAATCTTTTTTGCCTTTTGCCCTGCAGGTGTTTTTCTCCGTCCTCATCGGCGCCTTCTCGCTGGGACAAGGAGCTCCTAACCTTGAGAGCTTTTCCAACGCCCGCGGTGCAGCGTTCACCGTCTTCCAGATCATAGACAAGGTGACGACGACGACGCCGTCGCCGCCCGTGGCCTCTACATGCACACAAAAAAAAAGCAGACTGTGTAGGGGCAAGCGCCGTTAGCGAGCGGCGCCTGTGAAGGCCGACACGGCACACGAGGGGGGTGGGTGGCCAGCACCACGCCGGGGCCACCTTTGTCTCCCTCGTGGCGACGTTTACCACGCGCCGCGCCAGATATTTTCACACACGCACGGCTCGATCCACCTGCGGGACTTCTGCCTTGCTCCAAAGCCAGCACTTCTTCTTGACCTGGGGTGCACGCCGCACCCCCTGGGTAATTAATCGGAAACACGCATTTATTTGACATTGCACATTGTCTTTAATGATTGAGAACCAAAAAAGATGCTGCAATGCTGCAAGCGAATGTTGGAGAGAACCACTGGCCTCAGCTGACGTTCGTGAACTTGCGAGCCACGGTGCAAACTCCGGTCGTCCTCGCGAGCAGCAGCGGCGGCAGCGGCGGCCTTCAGATGCGCTTCTGTGGCCGTCCGGAACGCGCTTCTGATAGTAGGAAGCCACTGGGAGGCCATGCCCTGAAAAATCATCATGATCTCGATTGCAAACTCATTTCTTTAAAACTGCCTTTTGTGTGTGTTAGTTTGGGTGTCCTTCTCCCGCACCTTCGGTTAGCGCGGTTGGCGACGTAAGGCTCAAAAGAAGTTCTACATGCACAAATACGCAGACTCGCACAGAGACCCATAGACTCGCACAGAGGCCCATAGGCTCGCACAGAGGCCCATAGACTCACACAGAGACCAATATACTCACACACAGACCCACAGACTCACACACAGATACCCATAGACTCGCACAGAGACCCACAGTATCACACAGAGACCCACAGTCTCACACAGAGATCCATAGACTCACACAGACACCCGTTGGTGTACGGTGCTATTTCAGGAATATTTTGATGGGTTTTTTTTCCTGGATTTTCTGTTTGCACAGTCACAGTCACTTTAAGATGTTTTCTTGTTCATGTTTTTTGTTTGTTGCGGTTGCACCCGATTCAAGAGCCAAATGGCTCACAGGGCTATACCAAATAAATGAACTATGGAACATAGTTTGTTGTCCTTCCCCCCGCACCTCCAATTAGCGCGGTTGGCTACGTACGGTGCAAAAGAAGTTCTACATGCATAGACACATTGCGGGTCACCTGGTTCGACCGATAACAATTCACCAGCATTGGTTTCGGCCAAGCCTCCTGCCTGCCTCTGATGACGACGACGAAGAGGCACCGAATGTTGAAACCTGGCCCAGCGCTTTGGCTATGACGATGATGACTACGATGATAGTGACGACGACTGCTGATGATGCTGACGATACTGATGATGATGATGCTGCTGATGATGTTGATGATGCTGATGACGATGATGATGGTTGTACGCACAGCCCCGCCCCATAGACAGTAGTTCTGCTGATGGGTTCAAGCCGGAGCGGATCAAAGGCGACATCTCCTTCAGAAACATCCACTTCTCTTACCCCTCCCGGCCTGACGTTCAGGTACCTCGTCGCTCACCACCTCGTCGCTCACCACCACGTCGCTCACCACCTCGTCGCTCACCACCCCGTCGCTCACCACCCTGTCGCTCACCACCACGTCGCTCACCACCACGTCGCTCACTACCACGTCGCATCACTGTCTCTTTATCACCATCTCCACCTCATCAAGACCACCCCATCACTGACACTCCATCAGTGCCTCCACGAATGCCTCCACCTCATCACCACCGTCAGATCCTCATGGGATATTGAAGGATTTTGTGGGATTGTGTGAGATTGTGGGATTTTATGGGATTGTGTGGGATTGAGGGATTGTGTGAGATTGAGGGATCCTATGGCATTTTGTGAGATTGTGTGGGATTGAGGGATTTTATGGGATTGTGTGGGATTGCGGCTGGATTCTGTTGGATTGTATGAGATTGTGTGAGATTGTGAGCGATTGTGTGGGATTGAGGGATTCTAAGGGATTCTATGGGACTGCGACTGGATTCTAATGGGATTGCGAGAAGTTGTAATGCATTGTGTGAGGGATTCCATCGGAGTTGTGAGAGATTGTGCGGTGCTTCTGTGGGAATGCGTGGGACCGTGAGGGTCGTATATTGAGGGATTGCTACTGTGGCCCTGCAGATCCTCAAGGGGCTGAACCTGGAGGTGGAGAGCGGCAAGACGATCGCCCTGGTGGGCAGCAGCGGCTGCGGCAAGAGCACCACCATCCAGCTGCTGCAGAGGTTCTACGACCCCAGCGCCGGCGAGGTGCGTGCGTGTGCGTGTGTGTGTGCGTGTGCACGTGTGTGTGTGCGTGTGCGTGTGCACGTGTGTCGGGGAGCGGTGGTGTAGCGGTTAGCGCTACGCTGCGCTACCAACCCGGCGACCCGGGTTCGATTCCCGCTCGCGGTCAACACCGGTGACGATTATCTGAACCGGTCCTGGTCCTCCCCCAGGTCGACTCGGCCTCGAATGAGTACCTGGCGCGGTGTGTGGTAAACATCGCCACTGGGGAGACAAAGACGGCCGGGCGTGGTGCTGGCCACCCACCCCCTCGTGTGCCGTGCCGGCCTTCATTGGTGCTGCTACTCGCGAACAGCACTTGCCCCTAAAGTCTGTTACAGGCTGTACAGGGGGATCTTTGTATTTGTGTGTGTGTGTGTGCACGTGTGTCTATGCGTGTATGTATGTGTGTGTGTTTAATGGAGAAGCAACGCTCACAATGAGCGGAGCGCCGGGTGGCTAAAGCACAGCAGGTTGGCACAGCAGGTTGGCACAGTAGGGGGCACAGGTGGTGCATCAGCCAGCCATCTCAGTCATCTCAGTCAGTCGACCCGTGGCACCTGCAGGGTCTGCTCCAGTGACCTCCTGCCAGCGGGTGTTCGACACTTCACGTGGCCTCAAGGTGCACATGGCCTGGCACAAGCGTCGTGGTGACGTCACCGCCACTTAGTAGCGAATGGCGGTTGTTGTTGTTGTGTTTAACGGTGGTTCAGCGGTTAGTCCTGTCAGCTGGCGCGAAGTCTTTTGTCCGCTGGTCCTGTCCGGCAACAGCAGTGGCAGCATTGATCGGGGCGGCCTTGCAGGGCTGCGCCTCTTCCCGCGTGACTCACCCCCCACCCTCCCCCCCCCCCCACCCCCCCACCTCCCCCCACCCCCGGCGCGCAGGTGCTGGTGGACGGTCGCGACGTGCGCTCGCTGGGCGTGCGCTGGCTGCGCGAGCACATCGGCGTCGTGAGCCAGGAGCCCGTGCTCTTCGCCGCCACCATCGGCGAGAACATCCGGCACGGTCGCGAGGACGCCAGCGACGCCGACGTGGAGCGAGCGGCTCACGAGGCCAACGCCTTCGACTTCATCTCGCGCCTGCCCGAGGTGCCGGCCCCCCCCCCCTCCCCCACCTCCATCCCCCCCCCCCACCGTGTTGTGCCGTGCCGGGCGATGCGGCGGCACCGCCTGTGTCACGCGTGGCAGCGGTCGGTCGGTCGGTCGGTCGGTCGCCCCGCTTGCGTGGGCCGGCCAGGCTCGCGGCCCTGCTGAGCCTCCTTGGTCTGGCGCGTGGGGGCGTGGTGGTTCGCTCGCCGGCTTGGGGGGGGGGGAGGGGGGGGGGGGCTTCGTTTCTCGCCACTCGCCCTCCCCCCCAGCTTGTTTGGGGTGGGGTGGGCTGGGCTATGGAGCCCCAGAAGAAGATGCTCGCTATAATTGTACGGTCAACGGGTGAAAGTAAACACGCAGGTGCTGAGCGAGAAACCATCATCCATATTCTTAGCTCTTTCGGTAAAGTCACGTTGAAGGGAAACAATAATATATATAAAACAATAAAAATTCTCACGACGTTTCGACCATAACGCAAACGGTCATCATCAGGTGTGAAAAACCAACGCCAAATGTTTCTTGCCGTTGGTTTTTCACACCTGATGACGACTGTTTGCGTTATGGTCGAAACGTCGTGAGAATTTTTATTGTTTCATATATATTTTATTATTTTGTTGTTTCCCTTCAACGTGACTTTACCGAAAGAGCTAAGAATATGAATTACTGCAGTCACGAAAGCTTTTAAATGAAAATTTAAACCATCATCCAGTCGGGCAGGCGGGCGGGGGTTGTGGTGATGTCCGGCGCAGTGCGTAACCGTCGGCGCTCGTTCCCAAGCGCCGTGATCAAAGGTTTAAAGCTTTCGTGACTGCAGGAATCCAAACTCTTTGGTTCTATCGGTAAAGCCACGTAGGTGTAAAATAAAATAAATCGCGACGTTTCGAGTGCAACACAAACAATCATTATCAGGTGGGGAAACCCATAGCAATAAAAAAAAATCTTGAATTTTTTTTCTTGCTGTGGTTTTCCCCACCTGATGATGATTGCTTGTCTTGCAATCGAAACGTCGTGATCTATTTCATTTTACACCTACGTGACTTTACCGAAAGAATCAAAGAGTGTAGTGATCAAAGGTGTTGCCGGATGGTCGGTTGGACTTGTCGAATCACTTTGACGGCAAAGCGTTGGGTGACTCCTGGCCAACATCAGCACCACCACCACCACCACCTCCACCTCCGATGATGATGATGGTGACGTCAACTATCACGCCTTGGATGGCGTCCTGAGAGAGACCGCGGCAATTGCGTCGCCCTCCCTCGCTCCACCTTGAGCTTGAGCGTGTTCATCGCTTGGGGGTTGGGGGGGGGGGGGGAGAGCGGAGGTGCAGCGGTTAGCGCACACGAACCCGGCAAGAGATTACTCCCCCGTTGATTTCCCGCTCACGCGGCCAATAACCGGGTATCTGAACGGGGTCCCCCCCCCCCCTCCACTAGGTCGACTCAGCCTTAAATGAGTACCTGGTACGGCGTGTAAGTAATAATAACAATCGTCAGCACTGGGGATACAAAGGTGGCCGGACGTGGTTGCTGGCCGCACTCGCCCCCGTGGTGTGCCCTGCCGGCCTTCACAGGGTGCTGCGACTCGCTGCAAACTCCCGAGCGAGTCAACGACATCGGGGGATCACTTAAACCAGTTCCTGTGCCTCCCCTAGGTCGACTCAGCCTAAAATGAGCAGCTGTTGCAGTGTGCAAACATGAGCACTGGGGGAGACAAAGGTGGACGGGCGTGGTGCTGGCCACCCAACCCCGCGTGTCAACGTGCCGGGCTGTGTACTGTGCAGGAGGTCGTGGGTTCGATCCCAAACCTGACGATGCCTGCTGATGTATATTTGGAGTCTGCGTGTGTCTCTCTCTCTCATCATCATCACGGTGGCTAGGAGATGTTAACTACCTCGCCTGGTATACAGGAAGTCGTGGGTTCGATCCCGACCCTGACCCCTGCTGTATATTTGGAGTTTGCGTGTCTTTCTCTCTCTCATCATCACGGTGGCTAGGAGATGTTAACTACCTCGCCTGGTGTGCAGGAGGTCGTGGGTTCGATCCCATCCCTGACGCCTGCTGCTGTATATCTCTCTCCCCGCGTAGTCTCTCTCCCCGCGTAGTCGCGTGGATTTTTGTCCGGCTCCTTCGGTTTTCCCCTCCACGTTGAGAATCGACGTCGCCACGCATTTAGAGTTTTCGGCTGCTTTGGATTCCCACAAGATAAGCCGCCAATTAGTTGAGAGATAATTCGCGATAGCCGGGTCGCTTCTGAAAACGAGCTACACGAGCAGCTCCGTCGTCCTTGCCTCGTAAATAACTAAATACTTGCTCCCCCCCCAAGAGTGTGTGTGGGCCACACGGGATGATGCAGATGTCCCTTGGTCGTGTTTGTATCGGTTACACATCGATTGTGTTCGTGTAAGGTGAGCCGAGCGCCTCGCTTGTGAAATTTGCCACGATACCCGGCACATGCACGCCAAACAAAGACAAAGATACCCCGTGGAGCCTTTAGCCGACTGTTGGGGCAAGTGCTGTGAGTCAGTGGCACCTATGAAGGCCGTCACGGCGCACGAGGAGAGGGTGGGGTGGGCTTTGGGGGGGTTTGGGTGGGGGCCCAACACCACGCCTGGCCGCCTTTGTCTCCCCAGTGGTGATGATTAACCACACTACCGCACCAAGTACTCAGTTGTTGACCTAGGGGGTGCCAACACCGTGAGCGGGAATCGAACTCGGGTAGCCGGGTTCCTAGCGCTAACCACTACCGCCACCACTCACGCCACCCCCCTGCCCCCACCACTGGGCCACCCACCGCCCCCTACCGCCGCCACCACCACCACAACCACTGGGCCATCCACCACCACCACTGCCACAACCATTGGGCCATCCACCACTGCCACAACCACCACTGCCACAACCACTGGGCCATCCACCACTGCCACAACCACCACAGCCACAACCACCGGGCCGCCCCCACCACCACCCCCCGCCCCCACCACCACCCCCCGCCACCACCACCACCACCCGCCACCCGCCACCACCACCACCCCCCGCCACCACCACCACCACCACCCCCACCACCCCCCCCACCACCACCACCCCCACCACCACCACCACCCCCACCACCACCCCCACCCCCACCACCACCCCCACCACCACCCCCACCACCACCCCCACCACCACCCCCACCACCACCACCCCCCCCCACCACCACCCCCACCCCGTGCTAAATATAACCCCAGCACAGCAGCAGCCAGAGGCTGTAGAACCGGTTTCTTTTTTAGCCGAAAAAAACGGAAAACCCGCCCGGCTGTCCTCGGCTGTCCCTCCTTTGACATGCGACTCTGTCCGGTTTTGTTTTATAATAAACGGATTCTTAAAATGCTTGGCGCTGATGCCCCCCCCCCATTCCTGTACATTCCATGGGGGGGGGGGGGGTAGCAGGTTCTTCCCGCATCCCTGAACCTACGTAATGCTTGACATCTTCACCAGCAGCGGTGGTCGATCCACTGCTGGATGAAGGCCGCCTCCATCATCATCAGCCGTGGTGTGTCCACTGCTAGATGAAGGCCACCATCGTTAGCGCTGTGGTCTACCTACTGCTAGATGAAGGCCACCATCGTTAGCGCTGTGGTCTACCTACTGCTGGATGAAGGCCACCTCGAGCTTCCATGGGTGACGACGACGACGACGATGTTATCGGCCGCTGCAGTGAGCTACCATGCGTGGCCAAGAGCTAAATCGCTCCGCGGGGCTTTGCCCGACGAATCGTTTTTTTGGCAGCCGGCGTGTGGACGCTGTGCCAAGCACTCTGCAGCGAGGTGTCGTCGGGTGCCTTACGCCAACATTTGTTGACGGAATACATTCCGTCGCGTTTTTATTATTTTATTTTTGTTACGAGCATCGAGATGCACGGGGGTGGTGGGAGGGGGGTGCCGTTGGGTTCGTGGGGCCCGATTTTATCGCTTTCAAAGAATGCAACCCGTCTTGCGGACGCCGTGACGGGAACGTTCCTGCAACGGCGTCTCCTCGTGTCGCTTACAAATGGGCAGACTTTCAGGTTCTAAAGATTAGGGTCTGCCTCGAAAGAAACAATCATACCTACACGCGCGTGCGTGTGTGTGTGTGTGAGGTGTGCGCGTGTGCGTGTGTGTGTGTGAGGTGTGCGTGTCTGTGTGAGGTGTGTGTGTGTGAGGTGTGTGTGTGAGGCGCGCGTGTGTGTGTGTTTTGCCAGAGGGAGGGCGGCACAGGCTGTGCATCGGCCAATCATCAGTCGGTCAAGCCACTTCACCGTGACCTTCTGCCACTTCACGTGGCCTTGACGTGCACATAGCCTGGCGCAAGCGCTGTGGTGACGTTACCGCCGCTTAGTGGCGAATGGCGGTTGTTATTAACATGTATGTGTGGGGAGTGGTAGTGCAACGGGTTAGCCCGCTGCACTACGAAACCACCAGTGGCGATTATCCGAATCGGTTCGGCGTCTCCCCTAGGTCCACTCGGCCTCAAATGAGTACCTGGGGGCGGTGTCTAAACATTTCCACTAGAGAGACAAAGGTGGAAGGGCCTGGTGTTGGCCACCCACCCCCTCATGATGCGTGCCGGCCGTCACAGGCGCGACTCGCTAACAGCACTTGCGCCAACAGCCTCCGAAGGCTACATGGGGGATATTTGTCTTTGTTATATATGGGGTAGCAGGGACAGCGGCTTAAGTGCTGCGCTATGATCTAAAAAAAGGCTGTAGATTATTACGATCATCATATGTATACACACATAACAATAGCGTATGAGATTATGTTCGTGTAACACATACTTTGATCAGCATTGAGATACAAGTCTGGTCTGGTTTTAAGAGTGGCGGCAGTCACGTGGCGCAGAGGGTGATGACAGTCAAATGGTACACAAATTTGTAGTAGTCACATGTTTAAGAGGGTGGCAGCAGTCACGTGGCACATAGGGTGATGACAGTCACATGGTACACAAATTTGGAGTAGTCACATGTTTAAGAGGGTGGCGGCAGTCACGTGGCACAGACGGTGATGACAGTCACATGGTACACACGTTTGTAGTAGTCACGTGTTTAAGAGGGTGGCGGCAGTCACGTGGCAGTCTCATACCACAGGGTGGCAGCAGTCACACGTCACACATGGTGGCAGCAGTCGTACGTCACACACACATGGTAGCGGCAGTCATACGTCACACACACGGAGGGTGGCGGCAGTCATTCATCACACACACACACACACGCAGGGTGGCAGCGGTAACGTGTTGGCGCCGTGTCCTGCCCTTCCAGAAATTCAAGACGATGGTGGGCGAGCGCGGGGCACAGCTGTCGGGTGGACAGAAGCAGCGCATCGCCATCGCGCGCGCCCTCGTGCGCAACCCCAAGATCCTGCTGCTGGACGAGGCCACGTCGGCGCTGGACACGGAGAGCGAGGCCATCGTGCAGTCCGCCCTTGACAAGGTGTTCGCTTCTGTCCCTCTAGGCGTCGGAGAAGCAGCGGCACCGAGTTTATCACAAGCTCTGTGTGCGTGCGTGCGTGCGTGCTGGGTGTGGAGAAGCAATTAGGCGGTGTCAGGGGGCGGGGGGGGAGGTCACCAGATGGATTCCGTTCGGAGCGCCTCCTGTCGAGAGCGTGTGTGGGGTGACGGCCGTGAGCGGCAATGCGGGTCGCTCTTCACCACGGTCGCGGATTCGCGCAGAGACCCGTAGACACGCACAGAGACCCATAGACACGCACAGAGACCCGTAGACTCGCACAGAGACACATAGACTCACACAGAGACCCGTAGACTCACACAGAGACACATAGACACGCACAGAGACCCGTAGACTCGCACAGAGACACATAGACTCACACAGAGACCCGTAGACTCACACAGAGACACATAGACACGCACAGAGACACATTGACTCGCACAGAGACCCATAGACACGCACAGAGACCCATAGACACGCACAGAGACCCATAGACACGCACAGAGACCCGTAGACACGCACAGAGACCCATAGACTGGTACAGAGACCCATAGACACGCACAGAGACCCGTAGACTCACACAGAGAATCAGACTCGCGTAGAGGGTCGCAGACTCGCTTGGACTTGTGTGGAGACCCATAGAGAATCCCACAGAGACCCATAGACTGGCATCGATTGGCAATAGGGCGGCGCACCAGACATGCGAGTGGTGGATCGCTCTCCACTGCGGTCCCGATTGGACTCTCGCGGGAGGGAGCGACCGCCGTTACCTCCTCCCCCGCTTGACATTTTGCTTCTCCGCTGCCATCGTCGCTTGCAGGCTCGCCAAGGCCGCACGACGATCGTCATCGCCCACCGGCTGTCGACGATCCGCACGGCCGACGTCATCGCCGGATTCAACGACGGCGTCGTGGTGGAGCAGGGCACGCACGCCGAGCTCATGGAGCGCCGGGGCATCTACCACCTCCTCGTCACCCAGCAGGTGCACCCCCACCCGCCAGGCGCAGTGCGCGGGCGCGTCGATGCAGCTCGGAGCGCCCCCGACCGTATGACCGCACGCAGCAGCAGCAGCAGCAGCCGCAGCCGTTCACCGCTAAGTGTCGGTGACGTCACCACGGCGCCTGTGCCAGGCCAGGTGCACTCCGAGGCCACGTGAAGTGTCGAAGGCTCGGTGGCAGGAGGTCACGGGACAGACCCAGCAGGTGCCACGGCTCGACTGAGATGACCGGCTGATGCAGCAGCTGTGCCCCCTACTGCGCAGACTTGGCGCTACCGCATGCGAAGACTCGAGTTCAAAGATTCCCCCATGTAGCTTGAAGACTGTCGGGGCAAGTGCTGTTAGCGATTAACACCACGCCCGGCCGCCTTTGTCTCTGTCGTGGCGATGTTCACACACCGCACCAGGTACTCGTTTGAGGCCGAGTCGACCTAGGAGAGGCCCAGCACCGGTTCAGATAATCGTCACTCTCGCATGCACACGCACGGTCACGTGCGGGGACTCGCTCAAGATGCCAGACCAGTTCACCGTGCTGCCTGTCGAGCCTCACAGATAATTGATGGCAATTTTTAACGTTCTAAAAATCATTGGGCAGCTGGAATCTGGGCACAGCTTCTTGACGCGAGCAGCTCGCAATCAAACGGCACATCGTCATCATCGTCATCATCGTCATCATCGTCATCGTCGTCATCGTCATCATCGTCATCGTCATCATCGTGGTCGTCATCGTCGTCTTACCTCCGCATGAGCGCGGCCGGCTCCGTACGGTGCGAAGGAAGTTCAACAGACGTGCGTAACTTGCGCAACAGCCCTCCGGAGTCGACTGTCAAACGAGTCGTGCCGCTGTGTGGCGAAGCCGTGGCCCGGAGTTGCTTTAACCGCGCGATGCATTCCGCCCTCCTCCGGCCAGACGCAGGGACAGGATCCTGACGAGGCGGGCGCCGCGGATTTAGACAACCTGGAGGACGACGACGACGACGACAACAACGATGATGATGCGGTGGAGGACGAGGAGGAGGAGGAGGACATCGTGTTGGAGGACGACGAGGTGGTGGCTGCCGGCTCGCACCACCCCGGGCAGGACTCGAACCACGGCGCGCTGGGCGACGCGGCGTCGCTGGCGGGGGCGTCGCACCGCGACGGCACGAGCTCTCGACGCTCTCAGCGGACGGCGAAGATGAGCCGGGCGGAGAAGAGGAGGAGGAAGAAGAAGAGGAAGGCGGAGCAGGGCGAGAAAGCCAAGAGCAAGAAGGAGCTGGAGAAGGAGGAGGTTCGGACTTTTATTTTATTTTTCACCTATCGAGCTGTTTTAAAGATTTCCAATGAGGTGTCCGAGTGAAATACCCCCCGCGGCACGGGGATGTCGCTGCCCTCGCTCCCGAGCGACCGCTGGTTAGGTGCTCGCTAAGCTTCGTAGTTGCTGCTCGCCGATATCGCTCGCCCCAACGCTCTGTGACGGCTACGTGGGGGAATCTTTGTTTGTGGTGTAGCTAACCGCTACGCTACGAACCACGGAGACCAGAGTTCGATTCCCGCTCACGGCCAACTCCCGGTGACGATCATTTAAACCGGTGCTGGGCCTTCCCTAGGTCAACTCAGCCTCAAATGGGTACCTGATGCAGTGTGTAAAACATCAGCACTGGGGAGACAAAGGCGGCCGGGCGTGGTGCTGGCCACCCACCCCCTCGTGTGCCACAGTGCCGGCCTTCATAGGCGCTGCTCGCTAGCAGCACCCGCCTCAACAGTCCGTTACAGGCTACACGAAGGAATCTTTGTGTGTTCACGTGTGTGTTCATGTGTGTGTCTGCCCGTGTGTGCACGTGTGTAGGAGGCCGAGCTTCCAGTGGTGAAGTACTCCCAGATCTTGGCGATGAACCGCCCGGAGTGGCACTTCCTGGTGATTGGCGTCGTGGCGGCGATCGTGAGCGGCGGGGTGCAGCCGGCGTTCGCCGTCTTTTTTGCCAAAATCATCGGGGTGAGAGAGAGCACGAGAGAGAGAGAGCACGAGAGAGAGAGAGAGCACGAGAGAGAGAGAGCACGAGAGAGAGAGAGAGAGCACGAGAGAGAGAGAGAGAGAGAGCACGAGAGAGAGAGAGCACGAGAGAGAGAGAGAGACACACTTGCCACCAGGGAGACAAAGGCGGCCAGGCACGGCAGTGTTGACCACCCCACCACCCTCGTGTGACGTGCCGGCCTTAACAGCAGCTTGCCCCAAGCAGTCTGTTTGGGCTAAACGGGGAACCTTTGTCTGTGTCCCGTCACCCAGGTGTTTAACGAGCCAGACCCGCAGGTCAAGAGCACCAAGACCATCACCTACTCGCTCATCTTCCTCCTCCTCGGTGCCATCAGCTTCGTCTCGTACTTCCTGCAGGTGAGCCCCACACCCCCCGACGGGCACCTGGGCAGCTCTACCCACCCATCGGCGGTGCTTGTCTCTAATCGATGTTGCTCGACTCCCCCACCCAACCCCACCCCACCCCACCACTAATTGGCGTTTTGTTTACGTGACAAACTTTACTGGCTGTGTCGGGTGGTGGAGGGTCACGACACAATTAGACTTACGCGATCTAACCCAAAAAAAACCTTTGCGATTATTAATATTGGTCACGCAAAGCCCCCTGTGTGTTAAACGGAGGAGTTCCTGTACGGGGGGGGGGGGGGGGGGGGGGGGGGTGTGGATCTTTGTTTTCTTTGGGGCTGGTGGTGAAGTGGGTGGGGTTGGTGTCGAAGTGGGTGGGGCTGGTGTCGAAGTGGGTGTGGCCAAGCGACTGAGAGGAGGGGCCTCCATCTCCACGTGTGTCGTCCCTGTTGAGTCGTCCCTGACAGGCGTCAACGTGTCGTGCGTGTCTCGGCTTTCCCAGGGCGTGATGTTCGGCAAGGCCGGCGAGATTCTCACCATGCGAGTGCGCGGCCTCCTTTTCAAGGCCATTCTGCGACAGGTGCGTGTCGTCATCATCATCATCATCGTCGTCGTTGTCATGGTCATCATCAACGTCGTTGTTATGGTCGTCATCATCATCGTCGTTGTCATGGTCATCATCATCGTCGTTGTCATGGTCATCATCAACGTCGTTGTCATGGTCATCATCATCGTCGTTGTCATGGTCATCATCAACGTCGTTGTCATGGTCATCATCAACGTCGTTGTCATGGTCATCATCATCGTCGTTGTCATGGTCATCATCATCGTCGTTGTCATGGTCATCATCAACGTCGTTGTTATGGTCGTCATCATCAACGTCGTTGTCATGGTCATCATCAACGTCGTTGTCATGGTCATCATCATCATCGTCGTTGTCATGGTCATCATCAACGTCGTTGTTATGGTCATCATCATCATCGTCGTTGTCATGGTCATCATCAACGTCGTTGTCATGGTCATCATCATCATCGTCGTTGTCATGGTCATCATCAACGTCGTTGTTATGGTCATCATCATCATCGTCGTTGTCATGGTCATCATCATCGTCGTTGTCATGGTCATCATCAACGTCGTTGTCATGGTCATCATCAACGTCGTTGTCATGGTCATCATCAACGTCGTTGTCATGGTCATCATCAACGTCGTTGTCATGGTCATCATCAACGTCGTTGTCATGGTCATCATCATCATCGTCGTTGTCATGGTCATCATCAACGTCGTTGTTATGGTCGTCATCATCATCGTCGTTGTCAGGGTCATCATCTCATGGTTGTCATCATCATCGTCGTCGTTGTCATGGTCATCATCAACGTCGTTGTCATGGTCATCATCAACGTCGTTGTCATGGTTGTCATCGTCATGGTTGTCGCCATCATCGTCATGGTTGTCATCATGGTTGTCGTCATCATTATCATCATTGTCGTCATCGTCGTCATGGTTATCATCGCGATGGTTATCGTGGTAATCGTTTGAGCTCGTCGACAGCACTTGCCCCAGCAGCTTCTGGAGGCTACACGGAGTGGGGGTGGGATGTGGCAGGTTCCTTCACCTCTGCTCCGCGTGCAGGACATCTCCTGGTTTGACGATCACAAGAACGCCGTGGGGGTGCTGACCACACGTCTGGCGACGGATGCCTCGCAAATCAAGGGGGTGAGTGGCCCATTGTGGCTGACCGCGGCGTTAGAACGCTCGGAGCGCGACCTTCTCGTGGTGGCAATGCGAGCGGCGCCGATGTAAAGCGGCTGCTGTGGTTGCGTTGCAGTTCACGATGCTGCAGTTCGTGCATTGTGTGTGCCTGTTTGACTGCAGCCGTGGCACCAGGCATAATGTGGTTGGTACGATTATAACGCAGTGTCCGGTGCAGGTTTAACGATAATATAATGCCGTTATAATAGTCGATGGTGTGGTCATAATAGCCAACGTGGTAATTACAGGGTCATAACCATGTTATTTATTATGCCGTTAATAAGGGGCGTAGTTATAACACAGTTGATGGCTCCGTTACTACAGTTATACACATAGTTGATGCCATTATTACAGGGTTCTAACACAGTTGATGACGTAGTTATTGCAGGGTTAACGCATTTCGCTCGTTTATTAGCGTTAGGAGTCGATGACATAGTTACGGGGTTGTAACGCACTTGGCTCGTTTATCAGCGTTATAACGCAGATGACGTAGTTACAGGGTTATAACACAGTTGATGACGTAGTTACAGGGTTATAACACAGTTGATGACGTAGTTACAGCGTTATAACACAGTTGATGACGTAGTTACAGGGTTATAACGCAGTTGATGACGTAGTTACAAGGTTATGACACAGTTGCCAACGTGTTTTTGTGGCGCAGGCTACGGGGGCTCGCCTGGGCCTGTCTGCGCAGACACTCGCAAGCCTGGCGACGGGCGTCACCATCGCGTTCGTCTTCGGCTGGCAGCTGTGCCTGCTCATCCTCGCACTGCTGCCCATCATCGCCATCTCCACCGTCATCCGCTTCCGCGCCGTGGGCGGCCACGCCAACAAAGACAACGCGGCGCTGGAGAATTCCGGCAGGGTGAGGGCACGCGGTGGCTGTGGCACCGGCACGCAGTGGCTGTGGCACCAGCCCACTCCATCCCCCACCCACCCCCCCCCCAGCCAATATAGCCTTTAAACATACGGTCAGGTCAATAATAATAATAATAATAATCTGTTTTACCTTTCATAGATTATTCATGAACTTTAAACGAAATTTGAATGACTATAAATGTACGTGAGCAGAACCAACAGACCGGAATGGCACACGAGGAGATGGGTGTCCAGCGCCGCACGCGGGCTGTTGTACATGTCGGGTCGTGAAAAAGTAATAAAAATAATAAAAATTAAAGGAAAATTTAAAAGTTTAATTGTCCAAAATTATGCTAATTAAGCAGGTGTAATTGTGTTAAGTTATGCAAGTGTGTGTAATTATGCTAATGTATGCAATTATGATCACTAGGCTCTGCCTCGTTGTCTAGGGTCGTAGTCTCAATTGGGATAATGCAATGAATTATGAAGTTATGCAAGTGTGATGTAGGTATGCTGATTAAGCTCAGATTCGTTGTCTAGGGTTGTATTATCAATCGGGATAATACAATGATTCTCGCTTTAACATTTACTGGTTATGTCTCAGTGTTTGTCAGGTCTCAAGATTCAGATCTCTTCGCAGGATACAGTTCTTATAATTAAGATTGTTACGCATGAACTTAGGAAGGCACCACTCACTCTTCCGTATTAAGCAACTTTAATCTCTAAACAAAAAACATAACTCTAATGTGCGCACTCTATGGTAGGAATTTCACAGTCCTCTTGGAGATGTTCCTTCTCATTCATCCGTACATTGAACCCTCAATGATCACCGTTTGTTAAACTGGGTAACAGAACAATCGGTTAATTCCTCAGAGTAAAGCGATCATACACGGCGATGGGAAAAAGTCCTTAAAAATTAATGTGACAATATTCATACGGACAACAATAAAGAAACATGTCCCGAAAGCAAAGGTAGACCTCAATGAATTCATTGGCAAGATTATGCAATTAACGAGAACGAATGAGTAAAATACTTCTAAACAATCTTATTCATGTAACTAGACGGGCAGCAATGCTTTCCACGATCGGCTGATATTTAAACGCACCACCTTGGAATGGCAACCCTTCTTGAAACACGAAGATAACTTTTGGAACGATCTTATTAGTCCCGATATGCGTGTTGTGTTTCTTCTTTGCCACTTGTTGACGTGGCGGCTTACGCCGGACGGCGTTCTTTGTGCTGAAAATACCTCGGGGGGGTTCCCAGCAGGGCCGCTGGGACGGTGTGTGTGCGTATATGTGTGTAACTGTGTGTGTGTATGTGTAACTGTGTGTGTTTGTGTATGTATAACTGTGTGTGTTTGTGTATGTATAACTGTGTGTGTCTGTGTTTGTGTATGTATAACTGTGTGTGTCTGTGTTTGTGTATGTATAACTGTGTGTGTCTGTTTGTGTATATATAACTGTGTGCATGTGTAACTGTGTGTGTGTAACTGTGTGTGTAACTGTGTGTAAGTATGTGTGTGTGTAACTGTGTGTGTGTAACTGTGTGTAACTGTGTGTGTGTATGTGTAACTGTGTGTAAGTATGTGTGTGTAAGTGTAACTGTGTGTGTCTGTGTATGTGTAACTGTGTGTGTAAGTGTAACTGTGTGTGTGTGTAACTGTGTGTATGTGTGTGTAACTGTGTGTAAGTGTGTCTGTATTGAACACACGGCGCTCTTGCTGCGCCAACACTCTTCCTCTAGGGGAGGCCCAGGACTGGTTCAAATATTCTCCAATGCTATTGGTCAAGCGGAAGTCGAATGCGAGTGGCCAGGTGGTCTGTAGCGCAGTTGCCCTAATCGTTGTGCCACTGCTCGCCACCACCACCCTCTGCCATCATCACCACCACCACCACGAGATGGGTGGCCAACACTTGTACCCGCATGCCATGGTCTCCTAAGTGCTGATGTTTCACACATTGCACCAGCTTCCCGTTTGGCGCTCCGAACTCATCCACCGGAATTCTTGCTCGCGGGAATTATCACACCGGGTGATAATTATTCGCGCCACTCCTGGGCCTCCCCTAGGTTGGCTCGGCCTCAAATTACGACCTGGTGCCGTGCGTGAGGGAGACGGAGGCGGTTAGGTGTGGTTCTGGCCACCTCATGCGCTGTGCCAACCTTCATTGGGTGCTACTTGCTTGCAGCACTTACCCCCAAAAGTCTGTTAAGGCTACACGGGGGATCTTTGCTTCTTTTGCGTGTGTGTCGTCCAGATCAGCACAGAGGCAGTGGAGAACATCCGTACGGTGGTGGGGCTCTGCCGAGAGGATGCCTTCTTCCAGAGCTTTGTGAACAGCTTGGAGGATGTGCACAAGTAATTAACCACAACAACAACAACAAAAACCAGTGTCCAGCCATCACCTCTACCCACAGTCACAACCATGAACACAAGCAGAACCACCACTGTCAGCCCCATCCCTTCAATGCAATCACTACCGTCACCTCCAATGACCACCACCAATGCAATGACCATTAATTATCAGGTCACCACCACTGCCGATGTCGTCTTCACCGCTGGTGCTCCCCCCCCCCCCCCCCCAGGAAGAGCTTGCGCCAGGCCCCGCTCTCCGGCCTCACGTACGGCGTCTCCCAGATGATGCTCTACTTCATCTACGCCGTCACCTTCCGCTTCGGCGCCTGGCTTGTCGCCCACCAGTACATGACGTTCGAGAATGTCTTCCTGTGAGTCCAACTCCCCCCCCCCCCCATCCCTCCACTGGCGACCCGCCTTAGCTGCTTGCACACTGCCATCAACCAACGCTAGAGACAATTACCCGAACCGGTCCTGGGCCTCCCCTAGGTTGACTCGGGGCAGTACCTGGTGCGGGAGACAAAGGCGGTCGGGCATGGTGCTGTTGGCCACCCACCCCCTTGTGCGTCTTGCCGGGCTTCATGATAATTATAGGTTGCCGCTACTCGTTAAAAGGACCGATATGAGATTGCACAAGACTTTCACTCCAACATCAACAACTTTGATCTCCCTCTTAAACCACCCCCCCCACCCACCACGACCGCCATCACCACATCCATCTCCCTCTTCTCCTACTAGGACCGTCACTTCAACCTCCACCGCAACCAATAACCTTCCTCTTCCCCCGCCCCGCCCACACCCCCAGGGTCTTCTCGGCCATCGTCTTCTCGGCGATGTCAGTGGGCCAGACGAGCTCCTTCGCGCCCGACTTCGCCAAGGCGCAGATGTCGGCGCGGCGAGTCTTTGCGCTGTTGGCGCAGGTGCCCTCCATCGACAGCTACAGCGAGGCCGGGGTGGCGCCGGCAGGGGGCGCCCATGGGCGCGTCGAGTTCCGCGACGTGCGCTTCCGCTACCCGACGCGGCCTGGCGTGCCCGTCCTGCAGGGCCTCAGCATTGCCGTGGAGCCCGGCCAGACGCTGGCGCTCGTCGGCAGCAGCGGCTGCGGCAAGAGCACCACGGTGCAACTCCTCGAGCGCTTCTACGACCCCGCCGACGGCGTTGTGGTGAGTAGTGGGTGGGGTGGGGGGGGGGTACACGGCGAGGGATGTTGAAGGATAAGCGAGAGTCACGGGTGGAGGGATGGAGGAGGGCGAGGTTAGGGGCAAGGGTGGTTATAGAAGGATTGACGGTGCAAGTGGTTGGGGGGGGTAGAGAAGAGGAGACCGATGGTTATGATGCTGCTGCTGCTGCTTTTGAATGCTGAACTGCTTTGGCACTGTACGTAGCCAACCATGCATCAACATAAAGGTTGTCAGAACCTTTGTAAACAGGACGGTGTTTCAAAAAAAAAAAGGGAAGGGCACACAGAAGCAACCTGGCCACAAAGGATAGCTCAACGAAGTGGCTTTAAAATCACGTGGAAACTCATAGCAGCCAAATGCTCTTAGAATTGCTATGCATTGTATAAAGGGGGGAGGGAGGAGGGGGAAGGGACTTTGAACCCCCCAAACCCTTACCACACATCCCTGTCTGCACACCGACCCTATCCCCCCCCACCCTCCAGCTGCTGGATGGAGAGGAGCTGCGCAGTCTGAGGATCAGCTGGCTGCGACAACAGATGGGTATCGTGTCGCAGGAGCCCATCCTCTTCGACTGCAGCATCAGCGAAAACATCGCCTACGGGGACAACGGCCGCAGCGTGAGCCACGACGAGATGCTGGCGGCCGCCCAGGCGGCCAACATCCACAACTTCATCGAAGAGCTGCCCGACGTAAGCCTTCGCGGCACGGCCGCATGCAGGGCCCACCGCCAAAACCTCCCGCGAAAGGCCACCGAATCGAATCACGAGGGTCACCCAAACCCAACACCACAAGGCCCCCCCCAAATATCACATTAGGTCCACAGGAGCCACCACAGAAACTTTCAATGTTGTTATTATCATAAAAGGTCTTGCCTCCAAATGGAACTTTGTTCTAACGCTACAACTCCGCCTAAAAAACTTGCAGAAATACAACACGCGCGTCGGCGACAAGGGGGCGCAGCTGTCGGGCGGACAGAAGCAGCGCATCGCCATCGCGCGCGCCCTCGTGCGCAACCCCAAGATCCTGCTGCTGGATGAGGCCACGTCGGCGCTGGACACGGAGAGCGAGAAGGTGAGGCCCCCACCGAAATCGTCACACTTTTTAAAAAATGTAAAAGTCGCGCAAATGGTAACACTCGTGGCTCACAGCCAGACGTGCCTGCGTTCGATTCCCCACCCTCGGGCGCCTTTTTGTCCGTGCGAAGGTTCTTTGTTCTCAGTGTTGACCGGTTTTGTTCCACATTCCTATGGTGGGGGCGTAGGGGTAACCACGGTTGACGTCCCCCCCACAAAGTGGTACCAGTTTTAAATGGACCTGGAGAGATGGGTCGAGTCAACCCCAAAACCAGGACTCGATCTCACAACGCTTCCACTTGCGAGCCACTTGCCCTACCACTGACCCAATAGTCCATGGTAGCGAAATCTTAACTACCTCATCTGATATACAGGAAGTTGGTGGGTTTGATCCAGACCCCCACGCTTGTATGTTTGGAGTTTGCATGTTCTCCCCATGGTTGCGTGGATTTTTGATTCGGTTCCTCAGTTTAGAAGCGTGCCTTTAGAGCATTTGGCTGTTCCACATAAGCCACTTCGTTGAGCTATCATTTGTGGCCAGGTCGCTTCTGGAAAAAAAAAGAGCTGTACAGCTCGGTGGTCCTAAAATGGTAGAGAGTTCAGTTTAGTCCATTAAAGCAAATTTTTTTAAACTATAATGCTTCTCTCTTCGCCGTCACACGTTGTCGCCCAACAGATCGTGCAGCAGGCCCTGGACCGGGCCCGCGAAGGCCGGACCTGCATCGTCATTGCCCACCGCCTCTCCACCATCCAGAACGCCGACATCATAGCCGTCATCCAGCAGGGCCGTGTCGTCGAGGTCGGCACGCACACCGAGCTTCTGGCACGGCAGGGCGCCTACCATGCTCTCGTCAACGCCCAGGTCGCCCACCACTAGCACTCCATCCTCTGTGGTGGAGGCATTCATCGATTAGACCTGCCCAACCGTTCATTCTTCCAAAATTGGTGCGATTTCTGGAGGTGGGTTAAAACCGGGATCGAAGTCAGCTTATTTTTAGGTGGGGGATGGGAGACCATTGCAAGTGGCAGTACAGCAATGGATTTGTGACTACATCTGCGCCGAGTTTATGGTTGTCCCCTTGAATGCATGGTGGCTTTGGTCCAGCTTAATCCCAATTAACGCCAAACTCTTGGTAAAAAAAAAAAATGGGACTGGTCAGACAGCCCAATGCAGGACCCTCCTGAAAAAGAGTCTTGACTCGGCGAGGCTGTCTTGGGATTATAAATGGAATTACTTTGAGAAGTAGGATGGGTTGCATCAAACCTTTTAAAAAAGGGATTTACACGCCATCCCTGACAGAGGCACGCAAAATATGCCTGCACTAGGCCAGGCCCGTACGGGCCTAATAAAGGCGTGTACACACATGGACATGTATATTATGCACACACTTATATGAACCTGTATATATGCACAACACGCTTTACACACAACACACTTCGGGCTGTAAATAACCTTAACACCACCTGAACTGGGGGAGTTTCCCCAGGATCGTCCTCTTGTTGGAGGCGGTGGTAGCTGCTGCTCTGGGATTTTTGCAAGTTGGAGGGGCGGGCGGGAAAGCCACTGGGAAACAGTTCCCAATGGTTACAACCTCCCCCCCTCCTGGTCGACAGATAGCTCTGCTGCACATGCAGTCTACAAGCATATTGCTGCTCTTAAAAGGATTAGTCATTGTGCTTGCTGCACACCCCCCCCCCCCGCCTCTTAATTGCACAACCCCTAACACAACTCAAACCAGCCCAACCCCCCTTGGCCACAGGATTGGGCCTAAACAAAGGGGCGGGGCCTAAAAAGGAAAGGCACAGAGCTAAAATAGGGAAGGAACAGGGCCAAATCTAAGGGTGGGAGGAGGTATACAGAGGCAGGAGGCAAGGGCCTAAAGAGTTAAGGCAAGGCCTATGGAGGTTGAACTTCCCTGGGTCGATTTTAAAAGGGAATTTTTTTTAAAACAACGGTTTTGTTAACAACTTGGTTTAACTCGCGGTCGAGGTACGTCAATGGCGCCTGAGACACGCGGCGCCTGCGTTTTGTGCGAGCCAATTCCACAGTTTAGGGACCACGGCATTTGTGACCTACACAAATGTATATAAATAATAAGGCGTCCATACAAAATGTGAATTGCTTTAAAGTAGCGATTTAATTGGTGCCGATTTTGATACAGGCATGTATGGTCACCAGATCTGAGTACGTGTGCAAAAATGTGGAATTGATTGGACAACAGGAAGTGGACGCAATTTTGGTGACAAGGTTTGACCACGACAAACAGAAGAATCAAGTAAAACCGTTGAAAAAGCATCGAATCCGACGACGTGCAGCAGCAAATGTCTTTACGTGCCACGGAGGCGGCCACAGGCCCAGCTAGTTGTACCCAAGCCTACGCACCTACCGGCTGCCGACTCGGTGCGGAGCCCGCTGCTCGCGTATTTAAAGTTCTCTTATTAAGAACAATCGGCATCATATGAAAAAGGTGGTGCCGCAAAGCATGGAATTGTATCGCATCCCCCTTCTCTATGAGACAGCGTTGCCACCCCCCCCCACCCCCCCCGTACAGAAACGTGCGGGTCTTCGCCGGGTGTGCTCCTGGCAGGTTTCTTCCCCCAAAATTCTCGTAAACAAAATTGGCTTTAATATATATAGAGGACTGCAGAACTTAGGCACCCGTTGGTACCACTGGATAAGCACTGCGCCTGGCTGCTGTTGCCTTCCCACGCATCTGTGGTTGCTCCATGGCAACTGGGAGATGCAATTTGCACGCAGTGTATATGAAGTTAAAAACATTCAACCCCTTTCTTTGGGGGGGGGGGGGGGGAGGGAAAGGTGAGGAGAAACGCAAATGCGAAAAAAATACCCTGCAGTCGTTTGTCCAACGTCGTGGGTGGGACCATGCAGCGCAACAACAGCGCGGCGTTACAGCGGACATAGCGCAAACGGCCATGTCACCTTGCCATGGCAGAGATTCAGGTTACGTTTTTGCTGTAGAACACCGCCTTAGTGCACGGCGGTGGCGAGACGTCAACTACCTCACCTGGTGTGCAGGAGGTCGTGGGCGAGAACCCAAACCCCAAAGCCTGTATATTTGGAATTTGCACGGGTCTCCCCGTGGACGTGTGGCTTTTGTGCAGGTCCCTCCAATTTACCCCCCTGCCCCCCCCCGCCCCCCAACGTGTTAGTTTTGTTTTCGCAACAAAAAGTTCTCCGAACAGAAGCTGCAGGTCCTTGACCCCCCCCCCCCCCTCCACCCTCCACAAGCTCATTAGAAGAGTATCAAAAGGTGGTGGCGCTGGCTCATTTCTTTGTATTGATAAACTCCCGAATTAAATGACGGAAGAGGTAAAATGAGATGGTGATAGTGTGGGATTTGTTACGCGAGATGACGATACCGTCGAGCCAATGGCCTGGCTATTTTGCACGCGAGACCCATGGTTGCCGTGAGCTCGGCAGTGACTAAAAGACGCCAAACGTCAACATTAAAAAAACGGTGTTTTTGCTTAGATTGCACAAGTGTGAATGTGTCGTAACCCTCCACCACCCGACATAACCAGTAAGGTTTGTCCGGTAAACAACGCGTCGATTAGTTACGACTTCAGCCCACCCGTTTGTTGGAGAGTAAATCCATGACAACATTTACAATGAGTGCCGTGACGTTTCACCGGTGATGACAGCAGGCAGCATCATCGGGCGATTTTTGCCAGAAGAGTGAAGCAATCCACCTGCTTCCGGTCTTAAATAGAGCAAGACGACATGGCAGAGGACGATTACCAGCAGGGTACTCGAGGAATATTGCAAGACTACCCAAAGCATTTTGAAAACGGCCGCGAACAAAAAAAAATGGAGATTAACAGCTGCCGTGAAAAGCGATGCCGGCACGGGGATAGGTGGTGCGATAAGAGGAATGTAAACGCAAGACAAGATAGCGCAACGAGAGAAGACGAGACACTTCCGTGGGCAGTGCCGGATTAAGCTAGTGGTGGGAGGGAGGGCTGTAGCATATGTTATAAAGGGGCCCTAAATTAAAAAAAAACATTAAAACACGCATTTTTTAACTTGCATAGTCAAGTAATTGTGTTTTTTTTATTTGCTATGCAGCCGGATAATACGACAAATCGCTAACCTTAAACACGCAGTCGTTCACTAAAGTCGAAGGCGGTATAGTACTCTAGTAATAGAGCTGGTGCAGAATCACTGAACCGGGATTGATAGCTTGAAAGCATTTAACGTGGGGCCCTTGAAAGTGCGGGGCCCGTAGCCTGTGTAGCTACTTTTGCTACTCGGATAATCCGGCACTGTCCGTGGGACTTGGACAAGAGATGTGGTTAAAAGAGAAACAGGCAAGATCGAGACGAGACATTCACCGTGTGGCATCAACTTGGCACCTTTCACAGATTTTAAATGTATTTAGGATTAAGTTGCGCCAAGATTCGACGCACTCACATCACGAAACTGGGGGGGGGGCTCTTTAAGCCTTCGAGCCTTTGCCAAGTTTGTTCATTGCCTTCACATCACCTCTACCAAGACATCCGTTAGTGGGAGGTAAACCACCACCACCACTGCCGTCACTTTATTTGCGCCGAAATGGCTCCGTTGTATGTTCGTTTGTAAACATGTTGCGGTGAATGTAGCGGCTTGTAATGGCTGGATGGCTGGAAGTGAGGGGGAGGGGTCACGTTTGACCAGGCTTCAAATACGGCACTCACCTTTCAAGTGCGGTCAGGAGGGGCATAGACACGGGACCATAGTGTAGTACAATCGTTTTTTTTTCCCTCTGGACTGCTCCTTGCCAACAACCTTGCCCTCTGCTATATATATAAACATATCGAATATAAATGTTTTGTCTTAACATCATTACCTGTTACAATGTTGCAAATAAAACCGAATGTCTGGTGCTCGGTACTTCAAAAAAACATCGAATGACAGCGGTGAATGTGCGAGGCGACGTTTGTGGTTGGCCTGTGACGACAATGACGGGTGACGACGTCATAAGGTGGATTCAAATCCGGTGTTGGGATTGGTGGAGGAGGGTGCAATCTACGGCCCACCCTTTACATTCTATTTGGCCACCAACTTGAAATGCCACGTGGGCCGTAGCCACACGATGTACCAGGGGTGGTCCAGGTGTCTTATGACCCCCCCCCCCCCAAATAATTGACCAATAAAATGTGTTCCCTTTCCATACTTCGCTTTAAATAAACCTTACTTTAAAACATTAAAGTTACAAATAAATTAGGTGGGGGGGGGGGGTCACAAGACATCTGGAACCACCCTGTGTGTACAGCAGCACCACGAACGACATTCCGCTCGTCAACTGCCAACATCTCGGCCGCACTACAAAATCAGGTTCTAGACGCGAGCGGGTGACGATCTTTTTTTTTTGTTTGGGACCCTGGCAACGATTTTTAGATTTCAAAACGCGAGTCCACCTCGTTGGGGCTGGTGGGTTTCTTTAACAAACAAACAAACAAAAAGAATCGCTTGACCAAACGCACGCGGCATGTCATATCGCACCTCCTCCGATGAAGAGCACGGTTGATGGCTAACGTACGGTGAGGGGGGGGGGGGGGGATGGAAGTTGACACAAATCGTTATAACCGATTCGCTCACAAGAACCCGGGAGGGGGGAGGGATAGTGCCCCCCCCCCTCCAAAAGACCTTCACCGCCACGGGTCAGGGAACTTGACGTCAGGGCCGCGCTTAGCCAAGCTGGGGGGGGGGGGGGGGCACAGTTCGGCTTCGATAGCGCAGGGAGGGCCAAAACAAAGCAAGGGAATCCCACCACGACCCCAGCACTGCACCGAGCACAACCCTTTTAACTCCCGACAAAGATCCCCCGTGTAGCCTCAACAGACTGTTGGGGGGACAAGTGCTGCTAGCAGGCAGCACCTACAGTGAGGGGGAAAAAGTATTTGATCCCCTGCCGATTTTGTACGTTTGCCCACTGACAAAGACGTGATCAGTATATAATTTTAATGGTAGGTTTATGTGAACAGTGGGAGACAGAATAACAACAAAAATCCAGAAAAACGCATGTCAAAAATGTTATACATTGATTTGCATTTTAATGAGGGAAATAAGTATTTGACCCCTCTGCAAAACATGACTTAGTACTTGGTGGCAAAACCCTTGTTGGCAATCACAGAGGTCAGACGTTTCTTGTAGTTGGCCACCAGGTTTGCGCACATCTCAGGAGGGATTTTGTCCCACTCCTCTTTGCAGATCTTCTCCAAGTCATTAAGGTTTCGAGGCTGACGTTTGGCAACTCGAACCTTCAGCTCCCTCCACAGATTTTCTATGGGATTAAGGTCTGGAGACTGGCTAGGCCACTCCAGGACCTTAATGTGCTTCTCCTTGAGCCACTCCTTTGTTGCCTTGGCCGTGTGTTTTGGGTCATTGTCATGCTGGAATACCCATCCACGACCCATTTTCAATGCCCTGGCTGAGGGAAGGAGTTTTTCACCCAAGATTTAACGGTACATGGCCCCGTCCATCGTCCCTTTGATGCGTTGAAATTGCCCTTTCCCCTTAGCAGAAAAACACCCCCAAAGCATAATGTTTCCACCTCCATGTTTGACGGTGGGGATGGTGTTCTTGGGGTCATATGAAGCATTCCTCCTCCAAACACGGCGAGTTGAGTTGATGCCAAAGAGCTCCATTTTGGTCTCATCTGACCACAACACTTTCACCCAATTGTCCTCTGAATCATTCAGATGTTCATTGGCAAACTTCAGACGGGCATGTATATGTGCTTTCTTGAGCAGGGGGACCTTGCGGGCGCTGCAGGATTTCAGTCCTTCACGGCGTAGTGTGTTACCAATTGTTTTCTTGGTGACTATGGTCCCAGCTGCCTTGAGATCATTGACAAGATCCTCCCGTGTAGTTCTGGGCTGATTCCTCACCGTTCTCATGATCATTGCAACTCCACGAGGTGAGATCTTGCATGGAGCCCCAGGCCGAGGGAGATTGACAGTTCTTTTGTGTTTCTTCCATTTGCGAATAATCGCACCAACTTGTCACCTTCTCACCAAGCTGCTTGGCAATAGTCTTGTAGCCCATTCCAGCCTTTGGTAGATCGACAATCTTGCACCTGACATCCTTGGAGAGCTCTTTGGTCTTGGCCATGGTGGACAGTTTGGAATCCGATTGATTGATTGCTTCTGTGGACAGGTGTCTTTTATTCAGGTAACAAGCTGAGATTAGGAGCACTCCCTTTAAGAGTGTGCTCCTAATCTCAGCTCGTTACCTGTATAAAAGACACCTGGGAACCAGAAATCTTTCTGATTGAGAGGGGGTAAAATACTTATTTCCCTCATCAAAATGCAAATCAATTTATAACATTTTTGACATGCGTTTTTCTGGATTTTTGTTGTTGTTATTCTGTCTCTCACTGTTCAAATAAACCTACTATTAAAATTATAGACTGATCATTTCTTTGTCAGTGGGCAAACGTACAAAATCAGCAGGGGATCAAATACTTTTTTCCCTCACTGTATGAAGGCCGGCACGGCACACGAGGGCGTGGATGGTCAAACACACCATGCCCGACCGCCTTTGTCTCCCCAGTGCACACCGCGTGGGCACGCCCAGGGGTGGCACACGGGGCTCCTGGGCAGTGCCCTTCAGCTCCTCAGGCACTCACCTCCCCCACCTCACCCATCTCACCCATCTCACCCCCCCACCTCACCCATCTCACCCATCTCACCCCCCCACCTCACCCATCTCACCCCCCCACCTCACCCATCTCACCCATCTCACCCCCCCACCTCACCCATCTCACCCATCCCACCACCCCACCTCCCCCACCTCACCCATCTCACCCCCCCACCTCACCCATCTCACCCATCCCACCACCCCACCTCCCCCACCTCACCCATCTCACCCCCCCACCTCACCCATCTCACCCATCTCACCCCCCCACCTCACCCATCTCACCCATCTCACCCCCCCCACCTCACCCATCTCACCCATCTCACCCCCCCCCCACCTCACCCATCTCACCCCCCCCCACCACCTCACCCATCCCCCCCCCACCTCACCCATCCCCCCCCCCACCACCTCACCCATCTCACCCCCGCCTCACCCATCCCCCCTCACCACCTCCCCCACCTCACCCATCTCACCCCCCCCCCACCTCACCCATCCCCCCCCTCCCACCACCTCACCCATCCCACCCCACCCCCCCACCACCTCACCCATCCGACCCACCTGACACTCCCCCCCCACCTCACCCACCCCCCCCACCTCACCCCCCCCACCCATCCAACCCCCCCCCCACCTCACCCCCCCCCCCACCTCACCCCCCCCCCCACCTCACCCTCCCCCCACCTCACCCCACGGCCCTCCGGAGCGACGCAAAATCGCCCCGAGCCCAACCACCACCGCTGGGCTGCAGCCTCCCGGGCCACGCGTCGGCCTCCTGCTCTCGTCGGCCTCCTGCCGTGCCCCCCCCCCCCTCCCCTCCCCCTGACGCCTCTCACGTCCGTGGCCTCCCCGCCTTCTGTGCCCCTTCTGCTCTCCGGCCTGCAACACCCCCCAGCCCCCCCCCCCCCCCCCCCCCCCCACTGCAAGCACAGCCCCATTCACTGGTCTCCTCCACCCAAGGCCTTAGCCATGGAGTCAACATTGGAGGGGGGACCAAATCTTCCAGGGTGTCTGGGGGTCCCAGCCCAGAAAAACATCTACATTTGAAACGTAATTTCCTGCCTAAAATATTAAACAATTCACTAAAGCATGGGATGGACTTTTTATTTATGTTTTACAATAATGTCTAATAGTGTATATTGTATTACATTGCTCTGTTTTTACTTTACCATTTCTTGTTTCAATGTATGTAATGGCAGAGCTTAGGGATTAATAAAGTACAACCATAACCACAATCATATAAACAGAAATCTATGCATTGATTTATATGAAGACAAGTCCGGATATTGTGGCCAAGGTTTAGCAAACTGAAGCAATTGGCGGGACCCCGGGGTCCCATCACTGCCCCGGGGTGGGAAAACCCTCGTAGCGACACGAGTCTTGTCGCCTTACCGACAACAACAAAACTGGCGGTCAATCGATTGGCCTCGCCGAGAGCTACTCGAGGACACTAAGTTTCGTAAAAAGTTGAAAAATTACACAAACACGTTAAATTCACCGCCTGGGGGTGGTGGTGGGGCTCGCCTTGCCAACGAAGCCGAGGATCGACGACGGCTGACCGGAGGGCGTCGTCGCCGCTCGCGACTGCGGCGGACGCCCCCCGGGGCTCGCGTTTGGCCGGTGGGGTGGCGCCCGTCGTGGTGATCGCCACCTGCTGGCGCTTGTTGGTGTCAGCAGGCGGTGTCCTTGCGGGGTCACGAGTGGGGCGGACTGAAGAAAAATAATAATAATTATTGACCTGATTTTTGCGGGACCCCGGGGTCCCGCCAAATGATTCAATTGTTGTTTTTATTTACACAGCATAGCAGTTTGTTTTTATAGAAATATATTGGGGGGGGGGACACATTTTGTTCATATTTGAATATATGATAATTACGGCCTTGCCTCCACCCACAACATGAACTGTCTCGTCAGCTGCCATCTCGGGTGAGGTTTCACTTACGGTCTGGAAGACTTGCGCGGGGTGCTTGCCAGAGTGCCTGCTTGTCCCCCAATACTGCTGTTGGCGGTCGCTGCTGCTGGTTGTTTGTTGTTGTTTCATGTTACGCTTCTCTGCGCATCAACACCTCCGTGGCTCGCGATGTCTCTGTTCTGGCTCAGCCCCTTTATATAGATCATCCACTCCTCTCCCTCCCTCCACACCCCCTCAAAGCTGCCTTGCCATTGGCTCATCGGCCCAATTAATCGGGAGGGTGGGTCACCTATTTCCACCTTTGTGGGCCTCAATTACCCCACCACGTGGCTTAATCAGCCCTGGATAGACAAGACGCCTCTGGGAAATCGGTAGCTGATGTTATCAGTGGCAGACAGACTACTCCGACCTGTCCCGTGGCGAGTTCTGCTGCAAACCCCCCTTTGTGTCGATGGTGTCGATGCGCTCTCGGGCTATCATGAGGAAGGGGCCTTCGTTGAGCCGTTGACACTCAAGAGTCAAATGGGCCCACAGTGAATATTGGACCGTGTCGAGTGACCGCCTCAAGTGGCAATACTCGAGTTACAATACCAACATTCCTTAAACCGTCAACGAGAGTTGATTCTACAAGGACCTTGTTGCACAATTTAAGACGTCATCGTGGCCAGACCATTGATTGCCTTCAACCCCCCCCCCCTACCCGCACCGGCACCTCCGATTGGCACGGCTGGCGACGTACGGTGCGAAAGAAGTTCAACATACTCACCGACCCCGATCGCACCTCGCCAACGCGTTGTGCCCTCCGCCAGATCCCGCAGTTGATACCACTCAGCAGCGGCCTCCCAAGACGTGTCCTGACGCCATCTCACCATGCAGCCTTCGACTCGCATACAGAGACCCATAGACTCGCAGAGACTCATATAGAGACCCGATAGACTCGCATACAGAGACCCATATACTCGCATACAGAGACCCATAGACTCGCGTAGAGACCCATAGACTCGCATAGAACTGACCTGACCTCCGGCTGGGCCGTGTTCTCTCTCTCCCCTTTGGTCGCCGGACGCGTGGTGACCAATCAACGTCCACCTGGGCACCAACCCCTCGCCCAACCTGCGCAAGGCCGTGCAGCCCATAGACTCACACATTCACAAGCGCGTGACCACAAACATCCACTTGCATTGGATTCACGATACAGGCGTCGCCCCCCCCACCCCCTCCCATATCTACACGGATGAGTGGTGATGGTGATGGCGGGCTGGGGTATGAACTCGGGTTCTCCAGGTTCAGTGCGCCCAGCACGAGACCCGTACCCACACCTGGGTGACGTCACCTTGGCGCAGGCTCTGCTTACGAGAGGGTTCATAATGTCCGTTGCGTTAAAAGTCAACCCAATATTAATATAATTCTCATACCTTAATGCTATCGCATTTGAATGGGAAAACTAAATATAGTGTGTGTGTCACCTAGCTGAGATCACGAACTCACTCCACTGGAGCACCCTGTGTCATCACCATTCACTATTCAGTCCCTGGGTCCGAGTGTAAGTCTATGGGCGAGATGTTAACTACCTCGCCCGGTATGCAGGAGGTCGTCAGCTCGATCCCAAACCCTGACTTGCTTCTCTCTCCGTGGCGAGATGTTAACTACCTCGCCTGGTATACAGGAGGTCGTGGGTTCGGTCCCAAACCCTGACTTGCTTCTCTCTCCGTGGTATACAGGAGGTCGTGGGTTCGGTCCCAAACCCTGACTTGCTTCTTTCTCCGTGGCACGATGTTAATTACCTTGCCTGGTATACAGGAGGTTGTCGGCTCAATCCCGACCCTGACGCCTGCTGCTGTATATTTGGAGTTTGAGTGTCTCTCTCTCATCATCATCACGGTGGCTAGATGTTAACTACCTCGCCTGGTACGCAGGAGGTCGTGGGTTCGATCCCGACCCTGACGTCTGCTGCTGTATATTTGGAGTCTGCGGTGTCTCTCTCTCCCCGTGGTCGCGTGGGTTTTTCCCCTCCACGTTTAGAATCGACGTCACGTGATGACAATCCACTTCGTTGTGCCACCATTTGTGAAATCCAGGTCGCTTCTAAAAAATAAAAAGAGCCGCATAGCTCAGTGGGCCTTATCTGGTAATAAAAAAAAATAAAGTTTAGACATGGAATAGGTCCCTCTTCACCTGGGTGAATTTAAACGCCGAGAGCATGCCGCGTGTTAATCGCAGCCTTTCGAATGGAATACGTAGGAGTGGCTCCGCAGAATTCGTCGCCAAATCTTCGTTTGCTGCAGCTGCTGCCACCGCTCTTGCCGCCGATTCTTCCTCGGAGCAGCAGGCCATCTGAGCCGCTGTGCTCGCCACAGCGCGAGTCCGCGTTGAGCCGTCTTCACCCCAGTCGAGAATGTTTACGCACCGCACGAGGCACTCGGTTGAGGCTGAGTCGACCTAGGGGAGGCCCAGGACCGGTTTAGTTGATCCTTCACCGATGCTGGCCGTGAGCGGGAATCGAACTCGGGTGGCCGTGTTCGTAGCGCAGCGTAGCACTAACCGCTGCGCCACCGCTCCCACACACAGAGACAGAAGCGTGTCTGCGCACACGCGCGCACACACAAACAAACAAGTTTATTATTATTCTTGGCTCTTTCAGCAAAGCCACGTAGAAGGGAAACAATAAAATAATAAAAATATAAAACAATAAAATTCTGACGTTTCGACTGCTTGTGTTGCAGTCGAAACGTCGCGAGAATTTTATAGTTTTATATTTTTATTATTTTATTGTTTACCTTCCACGTGGTGACTTTACCGAAATAACCAAGAATATGAATCCCTGCAGTCACGAAAGCTTTAAATCGAAGTTTATTAATGTTGGACAAACTTCCTATTCCCTGAACTTGTCACCATTTCACACGGGAACTCCGCGCTCGACTCTGCCCGCCGGACTTCGTCAGCAGCCCCATCACAAGCGCGGTCACCGTGCAGGAGAAGGAGTTTCCAGCGTGTGCGGAGAACGCCGCCGCCGCCACGTTAATCCTTTAACCCTCCCCCCACCGCCCAATGCAAAGCCGGGAGGGGTGGCACCGGGCCGGTTCGCTTTCTCCACACCACAGAAGCTGAACCGAGCCGAGCTCTTCCTGGAATTGAAATGTCGCCGACTCAACTTCAGGAAGAGACAGTCCGCTCCCTTCACCCGATGAAGGCCGCTTGTGTTGTGGCCGAAACGTCGTGATTTTTGTTGTTTTATTTTTTTTACCTACGTGACTTTACCGAACAGAACCAAAGCGTTCAGGAAGATGCTCGCAGCCGCGCGTGGCCGAGTGCCGTTCGCGAGCAAGCGGCCGCGCTCGCGCTAGGTTACAAACACGTCCACCAATTGACGAACGCCCGAAGCAGCGTGCGCGGCAAAAGCTCGCGGAGGCGAGATGCTCGATGCTTAGAACCAACACGGGAAGATGAAAAAAAACGCCCTCGGATCAGACGCGGCTTTCGCGAAAAGCCGTCACGCCCAGCGTTGTTTCAGGTGGGATCTTTCGCAAAATTCCGTTCGCAGCGCACACAAAAAACATGACGCCTAACGCGGCGAATCGCAAACCGACGCGTTTAATTCGTCGCTCCCAAACGCACACGACGCAAAGGGGGCCACACAGGCGCCGTCGTCATCACGCGCCACGCTCGATCCCCGCGCTGGACGAAGGCCCCCGGCAACTCCGCCGCCATGCCTCACTCGCGCGATCTCGCGATGCCCACATCTACCTCCGTCTCGAGCCGGGGCCCGCAATGGAGCAATCGGTTGCGCAACGCGGTTGCCGCGCGAGGGACCGCACGTGAAGCCGAGTCACCCCCCCCCAGAGCCAACAGGGCCGACGTGCGTGGCCTCGCAGACGCGAGCAATGAGAGGCCTCGATATGGGCCAGGAGAGGGCAGTGCAGTAAGCGGGATTGTAAACTCGTCTGTGCAGCGGAAACTTTGTGGGCTATCACCCACAAACCCCCCCCCCCCTCCACCCCATTGTGCGTACGCCGTCGTGGATTTTCTCCGACAAACTCCGCCGGCATCTGCTTCCCACCGCGAAGCCAAGTTGTCATCGCTTACGGAATTGGCGTTGCAACCGGTCAGCGGTTAATAGGCAGCTATCGATTGACCCCACCACCACCCCCACCCCCTCTCTCTCTCTCTCTCTCCGGTCAGTCCATGAATCGTCACCGAATCGGGGGTCGCGGTCACACCGAGCCGTTAGTGTTTGTGTTGTCCACTTTGTGCCATCTCGGTGGCGATGTTCACACACCCTCCGCCAGGTATGCCGGAGGTCGTGGTGTCGATCCCTGACGCCTGCTGCTGTATATTTGTCATTTGCGTGTCTCTCTCTCTCTCCCCGTGTGGTAGTGCGGATTGTTTTTTTACGGGTCGTCCGGTATTTTTCCCTCCGTATTTAGACTCGACATGATGCGTTGAGAGTATTTGGCTGCTATCAATTCCCACGTGATGACGAGAAGGCAATTCGTTGTGCCATCGTTTGTGATAGCCAGGTCGCTTCTGAGAAAGAGCGATATAAGCTCAGTAGGACCGCCTTACCTGGTAAAACATAACAAAAAAATAGCTTGGTTCTAGTTTATAGTTTAGTCCCATTCACGTCGCTCGCATTTCCATCTCCTTTTGGTGCAAAATTCCCACAGCGTTTACCCAAACCGTTAAAACTCAGGCCCCTCGCGAACGATCCTACAGGTTTAATCGCGACCATTGCTTCCGAAACCTGAGGATCGATACGCGTCACTGTCATCCCCAACACCCCCGGCACTACTGGTTTAACATCGTCCCCTCACCGTCCCCAACATAGCAAGACCACTGGTTTAACATCGTCCCCTCAACGTCCCCAACACAGCAAGACCACTGGTTTAACATCGTCCCCTCAATGTCCCCAACACAGCAAGACCACGGGTTTAACATCGTCCCCTCAACGTCCCCAACACAGCAAGACCACTGGTTTAACATCGTCCCCAACACATCAAGACCACTGGTTTAACATCGTCCCCAACACAGCAAGACCACTGGTTTAACATCGTCCCCTCACCGTCCCCAACACAGCAAGACCACTGGTTTAACATCGTCCCCAACACAGCAAGACCACTGGTTTAACATCGTCCCCTCACCGTCCCCAACACAGCAAGACCATTGGTTTAACATCGTCCCCAACACAGCGAGACCATTGGTTTAACATCGTCCCCAACACAGCAAGACCACTGGTTTAACATCGTCCCCAACACAGCAAGACCACTGGTTTAACATCGTCCCCAACACAGCAAGACCACGGGTTTAACATCGTCCCCAACACAGCAAGACCACTGGTTTAACATCGTCCCCAACACAGCGGGATCACTTTTCTTAGGCGCATTAAACTAAACAGAATGCACGCGCTAGCAGGTACGATTGTCCTCTCCTTCATTCGTCCGTTCGACCATTCGGTTGTTCGGCAAGACGGTTCACACCCCCAACGCACGATCGCGGTATCGCCGCCGCTGCCACCGCTACCGTCACTCCGCTCCACCACCGTCGCCACCATCGTCACCGCCGCTACAAACGACCAGCACCACCACGATCCGCCGCTCCACTCCATCACTCCTCTCCCCCGCCACCGCAGCCGCCGCCGCCGCTACAAGGCGGCGCCCCGCGCGAGCGCCCGAACGTGCTCGAGAATTTCATCCCCCGACTCCCACGGCACCACGGTGGCCTTCACCGCGCCGGGCTGGGCGTGCTCCAGCGCCGCCAGCGCCCTCTCGAGCTGGAACCCGCGGCGCGGCAGCACCACGTCGCCCGGGAGCAGCGCCAGCACGGGGCAGACGTCGTTGCCGCCGTCGCCTACGTAGATCACGCGCCCGTACCCGCCGTGCCGCTCGACAAACGACCGCAGCGCCGCCCGCTTGCACATGTTGGCGGGGCAGCGGGAGCAGCCGTGCTGGCGCCCGCCGCCGTGGAACGGCAGCAGCGCCAGCGAGCCGCCGGCGTCGACGCTCGCCGGGTTGGTGAGCAGCTCGCGGAAGAGGGGGCGGTACCCGCGGGACTCCAGCACCCAGCCGATGAAGGCCGAGTTGGCGTCCGAGACGATGACGCACTCAAACTGCTCGGGGTGGTCGGCTTCAGGAGTGTGGGAGGGAGGGGGGGGGCAGAGAGGAGAGGGCAGTGTTAAAGTAGTCCGCACAGGTAATTGTAGTCTCATAGTCCGGTGGTTTCGTAGTCCACTGTCACCACTGCCACCATCAGCATCGCCACCATCACGACTAGCGTCATCAAAACAAAGACAAAGATCCCCCGAATAGCCTTAACAGAGTGTTAGCGAGTAGCACGGCACACGAGGGGGTGGGTGGCCAGCACCGTGCCCGACCGCCTTTGTCTCCCCAGTGGTGATGTTTACTACACACCGCACCAGGTACTCATTTGAGGCCGAGACGATCTAGGGGAGGACCAGGACCGATTCAGATTATCATCGCTGGTGTTGCCCGTGAGCGGAAATCGAACCCGGGTCGCCGGGTTCCTAGCACAGTGGGCGAACCGCTGAACCACCGCTCCCCACCACCACCACCTCTGCCCATCACCACCTCCACCGCTCCTCCACGTTATTATTTCGCTTCGACGTCAGCCGGCATGCCCGGCGCGTGTCCGGCACGTCACCGCGGCGTCCACAATCGTCTCCGCTCGTTCGCCACTCGCACGGCGGCGGCGGCAACGGCGGCGGCGGCTCGAACAACAACGCCGGACGAATCCCGAGCCGCGCGCCGGGCCGGCTCGGCACGACGGCCCCGACACGGCCCGGTGGGGCGGTGTGAAAAATGAGGTGCAAAGCGTTTCGGTCGAGCCCACCAGCTCCCGCCCCCCACCCCCCCCCACCGCATTTACCCAGGAAGCGCAGGAGCTGCGGCATGCCCGGCGTGTCCGGCACGGCCTCAATGGTGGCCCGCATCTCGGCGGCACTCACGCCCACCTCCTCGCCCAGGTAGCGCAGGACCCGGTTCATGTGATCCGTCCAGGTGCCGCCGCCGCCGCCGCCGCCGTCGTCGTCGCCACGGTAACCCAAGCGCTCGGGCAGCACTCCCCCGGGGGCGCAGCGCAGCACCCACATGTCGCTGTTGTCGTCGATGAGCGTGTGGTCGAAGTCGAACGCCACCAGGGACTTCATGGCGGCGCTGTCGGGCGAAAGCGGACGGCGGGGGTTCGGTTCGTGCCGAGCAGCGCTCTCTTTAAACGTGGCGGGTGTGTGTGTTTGTTTTTAAAGAACAAAATACCTCCAGGCAGGATCCCCCCCCCCCCCCCCCCCCCCCCCCCCGGAGGGTTCACCGCCGCACGGCGCTCGCGGTGAAGAAGCGATCGCGGTCAAATCCAACTCCGGTCGACGGCGTTATGGCGATCGTGGTTTTAACGTGGATTTGCCTGCGGTCATAATGCGGCCGTTACTTAAGTTTGCTGTCCTTCACCCCGCACCTCCGGTTAGCACGGTTGGCTACGTACGGTGCAAACGAAGTTCATCATGCATATATACACACACACACATACGTTATGGCTGTGGTTATGACGTGGTTGTGATTGCGGTTATGATGGTTGCGGTTACATTGTGGCTTCGGTTGCGGTTGCAGAACGGTTGTAAAGCCGCATTGGTAACATTTATACATGCAGTGTCGATGATGACGACAACGACGATGATGATAATGAGGATGATGACGATGACAATAAGGATGATGACGATGATGTCGTCGTCGTCGTCGTCGTGGTCAACGACGAAGATGACGATAGTAAGGATAACATTGCGGCCGATATTGTTGTTGGTGTTGTTGAGCGAATAGAGGCCGGCCGACCTTCACTGGGAAACGAATCGCAAGGAATCCGCATCGCTCGCAAACGCACCCCAAGTTACATTCCTCGCAAACGCACCCCAAGTTACATTCCTCGCAAACGCACCCCAAGTTACATTCCTCGCAAACGCACCCCAAGTTACATTCCTCGCAAACGCACCCCAAGTTACATTCCTCGCAAACGCACCCCAAGTTACATTCCTCGCAAACGCACCCCAAGTTACATTCCTCGCAAACGCACCCCAAGTTACATTCCTCGCAAACGCACCCCAAGTTACATTCCTCGCAAACGCACCCCAAGTTACATTCCTCGCAAACGCACCCCAAGTTACATTCCTCGCAAACGCACCCCAAGTTACATTCCTCGCAAACGCACCCCAAGTTACATTCCTCGCAAACGCACCCCAAGTTACATTCCTCGCAAACGCACCCCAAGTTACATTCCTCGCAAACGCACCCCAAGTTACATTCCTCGCAAACGCACCCCAAGTTACATTCCTCGCAAAAACGCGTGGGCAGGGATCGCCGTGAAATAACCCGCAAGGGAGCAGCCACGGCGTGGCAAGGGCCTCCTCTGTCCAACAGCGGAACGACAGAATGCGGAACGACACACACACACAAAAAAACAAAGATCCCCTGTATAGGCTTAGTGCTGTTAGCGAGTATCACCTATGAAGCAACACACATCTGGTCACACACACACAGACTTACTCGATTACAGGAAGCACCCCCCCAACGGATTTTAATTTTGGTCGGTGTGTGTCTTCTAATTAGAAGAATACGGCAATAAATTATTGTGGAGGATTCGCGATCGATGGTCAAAACACGTGAAATCGATTACCTCTCAACCTGCACTACGGGTTAACCCCTATTCTCGTATAGGGAAATTGAGTTTTCAGATCCAGGCAACACAAAAAGTGTCTATCTGTTTGTGTTTCTCTCTTGTGATGGGACTTTGTAGGATGAACGTTGAGATTTATAAGGGGCACGGGGGTGACCACTAAGGTCTGACTTGGTCTGTGATAAGGTAGGGCACTGATAAGGGGGTTGACAGGTTTGTAATAGTGTAGTGTATAGTGACTTTGTAGGATGAACGTTGAGATTTATAAGGGGCACGGGGTGACCAATAAGATCTGACTTGGTCTGTGATAAGGTAGGGCACTGATAAGTGGTTGACAGGTATGTAATAGTGTAGTGTATAGTGTAGTGTATAGTAGAGTAGTGTATAGTGACTTTGTAGGATGAACGTTGAGATTTATCAGGGGCACGGGGTGACCACTAAGGTCTGACTTGGTCTGTGCTAAGGTAGAGCACTGATAAGGGGTTGACAGGTTTGTAATAGGTAGTGTATAGTGTAGCGTATAGTAGAGAGTAGTGTATAGTGACTTTGTAGGATGAACGTTGAGATTTATAAGGGGCACGGGGTGACCACTAAGGTCTGAACTGGTCTGTAATAAGGTAGAGCACTGATAAGGGGTTGACAGGTTTGGTTACGGCAATTTAGAAATGTCGAGGTTTCGCGATTGAGAGCCAAAATACATGAATAAATCGCCACGTGCCTTACTCTTTTTTTGACCAATGCTCTTTTGTCCAAATCTTGCGAGATTTCATTACGAGATTTAATAGCTCCTTCCGACTGTACCTGGCGAGCTGAACCAACACCCTCATTGTTGCAAGTAACACTCAAGACACGTATGACGGGCGACGTTTCGGCTTACGACCCTTCTTCGCGGCACACACAGCGCGTGATAATCCAACAACTCCAATGTTTAAAATGTGTTCTTTGATTACTCTGGGTTTAATCTTCCACCGGCTCTCCCACCCGCCTAAATAAAAACACTTTAGGCAGCGGCGGTTAAAAGCCTTGCCACGTACACAACAACAACAGCCGCCATTCGCCACTAAGTGGCGGTGACGTCAGCACGGCGCTTGTGCCAGGCTATGTGCACGTTGAGGCCACGTGAAGTGTCGAACGTCCGCTGGCCGGAGGTTACGGGGTAGACCCAGCAGGTGCCACGGGTCGACTGAGATGACCGGGAAATGCACCACCTGTGCCCCCTATTGTGCCAACTACACACACACACATACACACTTCTGGGGGTGCGAGATGCCCCCCTTCTGGGGGTGCGAGATGCCCCCCCTTCTGGGGGTGAGAGATGCCCCCCCTTCTGGGGGTGAGAGATGCCCCCCCTCTAGGGGGTGAGAGATGCTCCCCCTTCTGGGGGTGGCGAGATGCCCCCCCTTCGTGGGGGTGAGAGATGCCCCCCTTCTGGGGGTGAGATATGCCCCCCTTCTGGGGATGGGAGATGACCCCCCCCTTCTGGGGGGTGGCGAGACGTGGCCAAAAATGATTTATTTCGAAGGCAAATAATCGAAAACGCGAATGTATCACGGACCACGTCAGTACCAACTTGCTTGGTGCCACCAAACCCTCTACGCGGCTACTTAACATCACGCGCCGTCTTCACGATTTGAGAACCGAGGCGTGGGGGGTGGTGCAAGGCTGCGGTCGAGGTCAAGAATCACCCCTCTAGGGTATCCAACCCAACACATCGCCGAGAATGACGAAGGCTGAACGAACGAAATACGATTTAAAGCTTTCGTGACTGCAATGATTCATCTTCTTTGGTTCTTTCGGTAAAGTCACGTAGAATGAGGATAAAATAATAAATTGATAAAATAAAATAACACAATAATATTCTCACGACGTTTCGGCCACAACACTCCAGCGCTGTCCTCCAGACAGTCTCGTCCCTTCACCTGATGAAGGCCGCTTGTGTTGTGGCCGAAACGTCGTGAGAATATTATTGTGTTATTTTATTTTATCAATTTATTATTTTATTCTCATTCTACGTGACTTTACCGAAAGAACCAAAGAAGATGAACGAAATACGAATAATTACATGTTTGATCGCGTTCTACAACAACAACAACACCAATCACGAGTAATTATTATTCAACGCAAATAAACCGAGCGTTAAATAAATCGCAACAAACCCCGGCTACTCGAAGGCGGTGAAGTCACCCACGGCGCTTGGTGCCAGGCCACGTGGCCTTGTAAGGTCACGTGGCCTTGTAAGGTCACGTGGAGTGTCTGGCGCCCGCCGGCAGACCCCGGCAGGTGCCGTGGGGGTGGGGGTCGGCGCTGACCGACCGTGCCAACTCACTGCGATTTATTCGTTTTATCCGCCCGCTGTTGTGAGCGTCGCTCCTCCGCCACTCCGCCGCTGCTGCTGTTGTTGCTCCTGTTTATGATGATGATGATGCTGCTGTTGTTGATGATGCTGCTGCTACTGTTGTTGATGCTGCTGTTGTTGATGCTGCTTCTGCTGCTGTTGTTGTTACTGCTGTTGTTGTTGTTGATTATGCTGCTGTTGTTGTTGTTGTTGATGCTGCTGTTGCTGGGAGAGGCAACTGCCTTCCAACCGCCCCGGCAGGAGCGGCGTCCTTCACGAGCCTCTTCCCTCCAAGCAAACAACAACAACAACAGCAACGAGGAGGAGGAGGATAAGAATAAGACGACGACGTCGCCACCACGGCAGAGCGAACGGCTTCGGCGGCGGCACCGGATGCGCGAGTCAGCGCGGTCGCCGCCGGTGCCGATCAGCTGATCGCCACTTCCGGCTCGCGGGGCCACCCCTCCCCGCCCCCTCCCCGCTCCCTCCCCGCCCCCTCTCGTTGTTGTTGTTCTCGTCGTTGTTGTTGTTGTTCTCGCTGTTGTTGTTGTTCTCGCTGTTGTTGTTGTTCTCGTTGTTGTTGTTGTTCTCGTTGTTGTTGTTGTTGTTCTCGTTGTTGTTGTTGTTCTCGCTGTTGTTGTTGTTCTCGTTGTTGTTGTTCTCGTTGTTGTTGTTGTTCTCGTTGTTGTTGTTGTTCTCGCTGTTGTTGTTGTTGTTCTCGCTGTTGTTGTTGTTGTTGTTGTTCTCGCTGTTGTTGTTGTTGTTCTCGTTGTTGTTGTTCTCGTTGTTGTTGTTGTTGTTCTCGTTGTTGTTGTTGTTCTCGCTGTTGTTGTTGTTCTCGTTGTTGTTGTTCTCATTGTTGTTGTTGTTCTCGTTGTTGTTGTTCTCGCTGTTGTTGTTGTTCTCGTTGTTGTTGTTGTTCTCGTTGTTCTCGTTGTTGTTGTTCTCGCTGTTGTTGTTGTTCTCGTTGTTGTTGTTCTCATTGTTGTTGTTCTCGTTGGTGTTGTTGTTCTCGTTGTTGTTGTTGTTGTTCTCGTTGTTGTTGCATTCCCAAAGTGCGCTCAGATGGCAGTGGCCGTCGACCAATGGGGGCGTGTTTGACTCTCCCTCCAGCCAGCCAGCCAGCAAAACTTTGTATTGCACTGCACAGGGCGGTCCAGATGTCTTGTGACCCCAAATGAATTGACCTCTAACATTGTTTTTACCCTTTGCATGTTAATTTCTGTTTTAACTAAACCTTCGTTTTAAATGTTACGGTTTAGATAATTAAATTCGGGGGGTAATAATAAAAATTAAAGTCGTAATTACTGGCGAAACGTCGTACTCAGATTGTAAATGTTGTGGCTTGGCTCTCCAGCACAACCGGTTAGTGCTGTACTAGTATACTACACTATACACTACATTATACACTACACTATATACTGGACTATACACTACACTATACACTACACTATACACTACACTACTATACACTAAACTATACACTACACTATACACTACACTACTATACACTATACTATACATTAGTGCTGTACTAGTGACGAATTGGCCACGTTCTGTTTACGTGACAACACCTTACTAGTTGGCTGTGTCGGGTGGTGGCGGGTTTAACGACGACACATTTATACATTTACGCGATCTAACCCACAACAACCTCTATTATGGATCATATTGGTCGCGAAAGCCTACTAGCACGTGTTCAACTGAGGTGACGTTTGTTTGGGCCGAGGCCTTCATCCAGCAGTGGATAGACCACGGCTGACGACGATTAAACACAAACATTACGTGGACCTTACCTGGAATAAACTGATTAAAATATACGCGTTTTGAATTTTCCGAATTAAGTTACATTGAACGTACGCGTAATGTCACATTGCCAATGTCACCAATTATTTTTTCATTGATTTTTTTTCCACGTTACCATGGCAGGGGCCCAGTACATTGGACGTTGCTCTGCTCCAAGTCCGACTGCTCCACGCGTTTGATCTCGTTGTATCGACGAGGTCGTGACGATGGCAGTGATGATCATCGACGCACATTCCTTTGGCGGAAGCAAAATTTCCGGTATCGATTCCCCCTCTTGTCGATGCGCAACGCACAGCATCGATACTTGCACGTGCGCGTACAAACAATACAAAGATCTTCTTTGGTTCTTTCGGTAAAGTTACGTAGAATGAGAATAAAAGAATAAAATAACACAATACAATTCTCACGACGTTTCGGCCACAGCGCAAGCGGCCGTCTTCAGGTGAAAGGTACAGACCTGTCGGGACGACAGAGCTTCAATGAACGATGTTAAGATTCGTAGCGACTTTTAAGCTGGTTGGGAGAAGTGAGGCACCTTGACAAAGGGGTTTACATATCAAATAGCTGAGGGATTAGCTTGTGACTGGTCACGGAAATGGCTATGTTAAAGTCAAAACCTACACATCCACAGAGGCAACTAGTAATTTAGCATTGAAATAGCTAAGGGATTAGCTTGTGACTGGTCACAGGAATGGCTATGTTAAAGTCAAAACATACGTCGTGAGAATTTTATTGTGTTATTTTATTATTTTATTCTCATTCTACGTGGTGACTTTACCGAAAGAACCAAAGAAGATGAATCCTTGCAGTCACGAAAGCTTCAAATCGAAACAATACAAAGGTCCCCCGTGTAGCCCGCGCCGGCTGTCATGGTAAGTGCAGCTCGCGAGCAGACATTAAGGGGGCAGACACGTCGCACGAAGGGTTTGCGTTGCCATCACCGCGCTCGGCCGCATTTGTCTCCCCAATGCTAATATTTACTAAACTTTTATTTCACCAGCTAAGGCCCACTGAGCGATACAGCTCTTATTCAGAAGCGACCTGGCCATCACACGTGATAGCTCAACGAAAGTTGGCTCATCACGTGGAAATGTTATAGCAGCCAAATACTCTGAACGCGTGGCGATGTTGATTATAAACGTGGAGGGGAAATTGCGGAGGAGCCTTAGAAAAAACCACGCGAACCACCGGAAAAGAGAGAGAGACGCGCAAATCACAAATATACAGCAGCAGCAGGCGTCAGGGTAGGCATCGCACCCACGACCTCCTCCATACCAGGCGAGGTAGTTAACATCTCGCAGTGGCCAGATTTTCACACACCGCACCAGCAGATTGGTTCAGTTGGTTCAGATGTCACTCGCCACTGATGTAAGCCGTCGGCTGGGAATCCAGCCCGGGTTTGCTGTGTTCATAGCTCGGTGCGCTGACCCATTTCGGCACTCATCACCCACATCATCATCATCATCACCCACATCATCATCACCCACATCATCATCATCATCATCACTCACATCATCACCCACATCATCATCATCACCCACATCATCATCACCCACATCATCATCATCACCCACATCATCATCACCCACATCATCATCATCACCCACATCATCATCATCACCCACATCATCATCATCACCCACATCATCATCATCACCCACATCATCATCATCACCCACATCATCATCACCCACATCATCATTACCCACATCATCATCACCCACATCATCATCATCCACATCATCATCACCCACATCATCACCCACATCATCATCACCCACATCATCATCATCACCCACATCATCATCATCATCACCCACATCATCATCATCACCCACATCATCATCACCCACATCATCATCATCACCCACATCATCATCATCACCCACATCATCATCATCACCCACATCATCATCACCCACATCATCATTACCCACATCATCATTACCCACATCATCACCCACATCATCACCCACATCATCATCACCCACATCATCATCATCATCACCCACATCATCATCATCATCACCCACATCATCATTACCCACATCATCACCCACATCATCACCATCACCCACATCATCATCATCACCCACATCATCATCACCCACATCATCATCACCCACACCATCATCATCACCCACATCATCATCATCATCACCCACATCATCATCATCATCACCCACATCATCATCATCACCCACATCATCATCACCCACATCATCATCACCCACATCATCATCATCACCCACATCATCATCATCACCCACATCATCATCATCACCCACATCATCATCATCACCCACATCATCATCATCATCACCCACATCATCATCATCATCACCCACATCATCATCACCCACATCATCATCATCACCCACATCATCATCACCCACATCATCATCATCATCACCCACATCATCATCATCACCCACATCATCATCATCACCCACATCATCATCATCACCCACATCATCATCATCACCCACATCATCATCATCATCACCCACATCATCATCACCCACATCATCATTACCCACATCATCATCACCCACATCATCATCATCACCCACATCATCATCACCCACATCATCACCCACATCATCACCCACATCATCATCACCCACATCATCATCATCACCCACATCATCATCATCACCCACATCATCATCATCACCCACATCATCATCATCACCCACATCATCATCATCACCCACATCATCATCATCACCCACATCATCATTACCCACATCATCATCATCACCCACATCATCATCATCACCCACATCATCATCACCATCACCCACATCATCATCACCATCACCCACATCATCATCACCCACATCATCATCATCACCCACATCATCATCATCACCCACATCATCATCATCACCCACATCATCATCACCCACATGATCATCATCACCCACATGATCATCATCACCCACATCATCATCATCACCCACATCATCATCATCACCCACATCATCATCATCATCCACATCATCATCATCACCCACATCATCATCATCACCCACATCATCATCATCACCCACATCATCATCACCCACATCATCAACATCACCCACATCATCGTCATCACCCACATCATCGTCATCACCCACATCATCATCACCCACATCATCATCACCCACACCATCATCACCACCCACATCATCATCATCACCCACATCATCATCACCCACATCATCATCACCAATATCATCATTACCCACTTCGCCATCACCCACACCATCATCACCCGCACCATCATCACTCTCATCATCATCGGCAGCATCACCATCATCAGCAGCAGCCCTGCCACAAACCGCCATTTCCCCCGGCGTTTCTGAGCGCAAATATTGACCCAACAACTTGCGCAGAACGCCACAGAACACAGAACACAGGGCCCAGGGCACAGGGCGGATGCAGCAGTTCGGAGCCGTGCTCACCAAACCACCCACTCAGCCACCCCGCTCACCTACCCACCCAAAGATCCCCCATATAGCCTTCAACAGCCCGTGAGGGCAAGGGCTGTTAGCGAGCAGTGCCTATGAGGAGCGCCACGGTGGTGAGATGTTAACTCCGTCGCCTGGAGTTAACACCCACCACTCTCCACTCCACACACAGAACCACCCACCACTCCACTCCACACAGAACCACCCACCACTCCACTCCACACAGAACCACCCACCACTCCACACAGAACCACCCACCACTCCACTCCACACAGAACCACCTACCACTCCACTCCACACAGAACCACCCACCACTCCACTCCACACAGAACCACCCACCACTCCACTCCACACAGAACCGCCCACCACTCCACTCCACACACAGAACCACCCACTACTCCACTCCACACAGAACCACCCACCACTCCACACAGGACCTCCCACCACTCCACTCCACACAGGACCTCCCACCACTCCACTCCACACAGAAACACCCACCACTCCACACAGAACCACCCACCACTCCACTCCACACAGAACCACCCACCACTCCACACAGAACCACCCACCACTCTTCACACACAGAACCACCCACCACTCCACTCCACACAGAACCACCCACCACTCCACTCCACACAGGACCTCCCACCACCCCACTCCACACACAGAACCACCCACCACTCCACTCCACACAGAACCACCCACCACTCCACACACACACACAGAACCACCCACCACTCCATACACACAGAACCTCCCACCACTCCACACACAGACCCTCCCACCCTATCAACCCCAACTCCTGCACCACCACCACGGCTCCTGCCTACCCTCTCTGCCAGTCGCACTCTCACGCACCCAGTGAGCCTCACGTTCCGCGATCCTCACCTGCAAGCGATATTCCTCGTCCTGCTTCACGACGTTGTTAATTTCTTAAAATCTCTTTTTTTGTATTTCGTTAATTATTTTTTCCATTACTTTTCTCTTTTTTTCCTACCTGCATATGTCTCTTGCAGAGAAGATGAATGTCTCCACCATCTCCACGGATCTCCTGGCCCTGGGGGGACAGGTCGCCTCACCATGGGGGGTTCAGGTCATGGCCCCGACGGGGAACGGTGGCGGCGGAACGGGGGGCCTCACCTCGACGCCCGGAGTGGGGGGCCCCGTGCACGTGGTGCGGGTGGCGCCCTTCGCCGTGGTGTGCGTGCTGTCCATGACCGTGCTCTTCGGCATCTTCTTCCTGGGGTGCAACCTCCTCATCAAGACCGAGGGCATCCTCAACTTCCTCATGAAGGACAGACGCGCCTCGCGCGACGTCGAGGCCACGGTCACGGCCACGTACTGATCGGCGGCCCGCGGGGTCTGGCGAAGGGCGACCAGGCACGGACATCTACCAGACATCGCTACTTACTGGCAACGAGATCTCAGCCATCAACCAGACATCGCTACTTACTGACAACGAGATCTCAGCCATCAACCAGACATCGCTACTTACTGACAACCAGATCTCAGCCATCAACCAGACATCGCTACCTACTGGTGACCAGATCTCAGCCATCAACCAGACATCGCTACCTACTGGCAACAAAATCTCAGCCATCAACCAGACATCGCTACCTACTGGCAACGAAATCTCAGCCATCACCCAGATATCGCTACCAACTGGTGACCAGATCTCAGCCATCAACCAGACATCGCTACCAACTGGTGACCAGATCTCAGCCATCAACCAGACATCGCTACCTACTGGTGACCAGATCTCAGCCATCAACCAGACATCACTACCTACTGGTGACCAGATCTCAGCCATCAACCAGACATCGCTACCTACTGGCAACCAGATCTCAGACATCAACCAGACATCGTTACCTACTGGCAACGAGATCTCAGCCATCAACCAGACATCGCTACCTCCTGACAACCAGATCTCAGCCATCACCCAGACATCGCTACCTCCTGGCAACCAGATCTCAGCCATCAACCAGACATCGCTACCTACTGGTGACCAGATCTCAGCCATCACCCAGACATCGCTACCTACTGGTGACCAGATCTCAGCCATCAACCAGATATCGCTAAATCCACATTTACTCTTAATCAGATCTCTGCGCTCAACCATGAACCAGGCATCAACCAGTGACCATCATCTATCAACCATCGAACAAATGGCTGTATTGTCAACTCAACTACGAACCAGACCTCTGCAACTGCTGTCAATCAGACATCACGTATCCACCAAATGTAACTGCAACAAAACACATCACCAAAAACGCCTTCACAATCTTCTCCAACACCATTACCACATTTTCACAATCACCACCATCATCATCACCACCATCACTACAAACACCATCGCCACTGTCACCACCCGTTGACAAACATCACCACCATCACTACAAACATCACCACCATCACCACAAACATTACCACCATCACTACAAACACCATCGCCACACGTTCACAAACATCACCACCATCACTACAAACATCACCACTACCACTACAAACATCACCACCACCACTACAAACACCATCGCCACACGTTCACAAACATCACCACCATCACTACAAACATCACCACTACCACTACAAACATCACCACCATCACTACAAACATCACCACCATCACTACAAACACCATCGCCACACGTTTACAAACATCACCACCATCACTACAAACATCACCACCATCACCACAAACATCACCACCATCACCACAAACATCACCACCATTACCACAAACATCACCACCATCACCACAAACATCACCACCATCACCACAAACATCACCACCATCACTACAAACATCACCACCATCACTACAAACACCATCGCCACCATCACCACAAACATCACCACCATCACTACAAACATCACCACCATCACCACAAACACCATCGCTACACGTTCACACCCATCACCACCATCACCACAAACATCACCATCATCACTACAAACACCATCGCCACACGTTCACAACCATCACCACCATCACTACCAACATCACCACCATCACTACAAACACCATCGCCACACGTTCACAACCATCACCACCATCACTACAACCATCACCACCATCACTACAAACACCATCGCCACACGTTCACAAACATCACCACCATCACCCCAAACATCACCACCATCACCACAAACATCACCACCATCACTACAAACATCACCACCATCACTACAACCATCACCACCATCACTACAAACACCATCGCCACACGTTCACAAACATCACCACCATCACTACAAACATCACCACCATCACCACAAACATCATCACCATCACTACAAACAGCACCACCACCACTACAAACATCACCACCATCACTACAAACATCACCACCATCACTACAAACATCACCACCATCACCACAAACATCACCACCATCACTACAAACATCACCACCATCACCACAAACATCACCACCATCACCACAAACATCACCACCATCACTACAAACATCACCACCATCACTACAAACATCACCACCATCACCACCACAAACATCACCACCACCACCTAAAAACATCACCACCATCACCACAAACATCACCACCATCACTACAAACATCACCACCATCACTACAAACACCATCGCTACACGTTCACAAACATCACCACCATCACTACAAACATCACCACCACCACTACAAACACCATCGCCACCATCACCACAAACATCACCACCATCACTACAAACATCACCACCATCACCACAAACATCACCACCATCACTACAAACATCACCACCATCACCACAAACATCACCACCATCACCACAAACATCACCACCATCACTACAAACATCACCACCATCACTACAAACACCATCGCCACCATCACCACAAACATCACCACCATCACCACAAACATCACCACCATCACCACAAACATCACCACCATCACTACAAACATCACCACCATCACTACAAACATCACCACCATCACCACAAACATCACCACCATCACCACAAACATCACCACCATCACTACAAACATCACCACCATCACTACAAACACCATCGCCACCATCACCACAAACATCACCACCATCACCACAAACATCACCACCATCACCACAAACATCACCACCATCACTAAAAACATCACCACCATCACCACAACCATCACCGCCACACGTTCACAAACATCACCACCACCACTAAAAACATCACCACCATCACCACAAACATCACCATCACTACAAACATCACCACCATCACTACAACCATCACCACCATCACTACAAACATCACCACCATCACCACAAACATCACCACCATCACCACCACCATCCCTGCAGCCGCGTGCTGAGAGCCTTTGCGCTGCCGTGCGGAATAACTCGATTCACGAGGGGACACGTGGACGCGAGCAGGAGACCAAGGGACTCTTTACCAGGACTCGAACTCTGAACGGGGGACACCTCAGAGGGCCGGGTGTTCACCACCACCACCGACTTTGTTGTTGTTCTGGTTGTTGACTGCCGCTGCCGCTGGCTCTCGCTCAACCGGCCAAGTTTGTTGGCGAACGAGGCAAAGAAGACTGCCTCGGCCTGCCGTCCCTACGGAGGGACGGGGGGGGGGGGGTCGAGCACTATGGACACTACTCCGGTGGGGGAATTCAACCGTCGGCTTACCCACGGAGAGACTCACCCCCGCCATAGGAACGTGGAGTTCCCACCACTGGCCCAGGGCTGGAGTCTGGCTCGGTAACGCGCGCCCTCTCTCGATGTCCACGCGCGACTTGGACCCAACAACTGACATTGTCACAAATCCGATGTTTGTTTGCTAAATGTTTATTTATAAACTCGGCAAAATTGAAATCGGCAGGTCGCGCGTGCCGTGGGGGGTAAAGCGTGGCGACTCGAAACCTCTTCCCGAAGCGTTTCGGGGTCGGCGTGGAGGAGTAGGCCAAAAACACCCCTCTCGATGGAGCGCCTCTGCCGCTCGTCCCTCGCGGAGGTCCCCTTTGGGGCTGCCGGCGAGCGGCGTGAGCGGAGCAATTGCAGGGGCTGCGCCTTTACCAAAGCTCGCTACCGTGTTTGGGTGAGCAGAAGAGAAGTGATCACGCGCTGTACTTGAGCCGCCTTTGACCAAAATCACCCGTGGCGCGCCCGATCCCGTGGCATCTCGCTCGGAAGCTAAGCAGGGATTGTGTTTTTTATTAAAGCCTGGCGAAGCGCTTGGACGAGTGATCACCATCATCACCACCACCACTCACACCCAGCCAGGCGTTGGAGGCTACCGTGAGCTGCGACATCCGCCGTTGTTCTTGCCGGCCTCTCCCTCTCTCTCTCTCCCACCTTCGCCAACCCGCGACGACCGGCGTGGTGAAGTATGGTCATCCAGCAGTGCACTGCACGCGTTGCGCACGGTTGTATTTGCGGCGGTGGGAGTTTGCTGCGCGCGCCGTGGAGGTCAAAGCGGGGTTGGCGGGTCACGGAGAGAGCTGCGGAACTCCCGAACCAACTGGGCTTGCGAATTGCGGCAGTATAGCAAGTGGGTCCGTGAGACAATCCGAGGTGCTGCAACCACCTCGTTTGAGTGCTGGGTTTTCTGATGGATTTGGCCAAACATTTGGCCAAACACGTGAACGTATCAGGGCCCTGAGACTCGGTGGGACTTCTCTTGACGAAGGGCATTAAAGGTGTCATTATTATTATTCATTCTACTTGTCTCCTTGTGAACGTACCCGTTTCATGGTTTAATAGGTGCTCGCGAACAACACTTGCCCCAACAATCTTCACGAGTAACTAGCCTGTCGATACACTGCACTGTTATATAGTGAATTGCATTATGGAGTAAATATGCTAAGATTGAAATATTCGATAACGTGTTGAAAAAAATATTCCAAAGTGTTTGCCCAGTATCGTGTATTTAAAAAAAAATCGCTGTTGCAGTGGCTGGGTAGCTCGGGAGGTCGCAGACGCTGAGCTGGTACTGCTGGGTTCGAATCCAGGATTCCAGGATTCGAAACCGCCCAACTGTGACTGAACGAGTTCTCGTTTCAGTAGCGACCTGACCACAAATGATCGTTCAACGAAAGTGGCTTGTCAATTCACGGCAGCCAAATAACCCCCCACCCCCCCCCCCCGAAACGCATGCTGGTTCTAAATGTGGAGGAGGGGGGGTGGGGAACCAGAGGACCTAGCGGAAAATCCACGCGACCACGGGGAGAGAGAGAGACACGCAAACTCCAAATATACAGCAGGCGTTAGGATCGGTAGCGAACCCACGCCCTCCTGTATACCAGGCGAGGTAGTTAACATCTCCTAGCCACCGTGATGATGATGAGAGAGAGACACGCAAACTCCAAATATAAAGCAGGCGTTAGGATTGGGATCGAACCCACGACCTCCTGTATACCAGGCGAGGTAGTTAACATCTCCTAGCCACCGTGATGATGATGAGAGAGAGACACGCAAACTCCAAATATAAAGCAGGCGTTAGGATTGGGATCGAACCCACGACCTCCTGTATACCAGGCGAGGTAGTTAACATCTCCTAGCCACGGAGAGAGAAGCAAGTCAGGATTTGGGATCGAGCTGACAACCTCCTGCATACCAGGCGAGGTAGTTAACATCTCGCCCATAGACTTACGCTCGGACCCAGGGACTGAATAGTGAATGGCGATGACACAGGGTGCTCCAGTGGAGTGAGTTCGTGGTCTCAGCCAGGTGACCAATTGACTACACACACTATATTTAGTTTTCTCATTTAAATGCGATAGCATTAAGGTATGAGAATTATATAAATATTGGGTTGACTTTTAACGCAACGGACATTATGAACCCTCTCGTAAGCAGAGCCTGCGCCAAGGTGACGTCACCCAGGTTTGGGTACGGGTCTCGTGCTGGGCGCACTGAACCTGGAGAACCCGAGTTCATACCCCAGCCCGCGGTGAAGCATCGGTGGCAAGCGTGGTGCCAACAAGGCCAGGCCCCGACTCGCCTCTCCCCCCCCACCCTGACCCTCTTGAACCAACCCCGGCACTGAAGTCGCGACGCTTCGGCACGGGGACGCCTGCATCCAAGCAGTGGAATGACAATAGGGCTGGAAATTGTTCGGTGAAATACGCGCACACACCATTGTGTGTTTGTGGACTCACAACGTTTAATGTTGTGGATTCACTCTTCAACACACCGGTGGGCTAAAGTAGTGAACTATTTGTCTTTTGTCAACGTGACACTTTTTTTGCTGATTGGCCGTGTCAGGTGGTGGAGGGTTACGACACATTTATAAATAACGCGAACCCAAATACCTTTATGAATAATATTGATCGCGAAAGCCTACGTGTTAAACATTATGTTTGTACCGATGAATGCATATATACGTATTTTTAAACGTTCAAATGTGAATCCGTATTACGAAGATGCAATTGCACTTACACGCAGGGCTTCATTTCGGCTGGAGCTGTCCAGGGCCGGTCCCCGGAAAATGTTGTTGCTTTAAACGTGCTATCTGTATCGTCGTTACCCATTAAACGCAATTGTGTCGATATTATGAATGTTCTGATTTTATAGTGGAATGTCAATGTTGTTCTAAACATAGGTTTTAATTATTATATTCTTAGCTCTTTCGGTAAAGTCACGGTGAAGGGAAACAATCAAATAATAAAATATATATAAAACAATAAAAATTCTCACGTTTCGACCATAACACAAACGGTTGTCATCAGGTGTGTCGGTTTGCATACATTTATTTTTAAACGGTGCATTTATTTATTTATAAAAATGTGTGACATGGTCATAGATGTGCCATGGTCACTCCACTGCTCGATGAAGTACCCCCATAATCCCACGAGATCCCACGATGTACCAATCCACTCAGCACCTGCAGCACGCTTCGATTTCATCACTCCATCTCCACGAGTGGTCATACTCTCTCAAACACCTTCAAAATCCTTGGCCGATAGATTATCCCCTCCCCCCTTCCCCAATCATTGATCTGCTTACCCCCCATCACCAATCTGCCCTGCGGCCACGGCGTCCCTGAACAATCCCCACGTCATAATTTCAGAACGGTTTCTATGGACGCAATCGTTACCGGAGTCGTGGAAAGACGGAAAAAAACCCACCGAATCCAGGCGGCCACCAGGGCCGACCCACAAATGTAATTTCACGTTTAAGTGGCGAAACAAACTCTCGCTGTTTGCTCACGATGCCATTAGCCAGGCACCAGGCGACTGAACACTTTTTTCCCTGCCCGAGCGTCACTTCCACGCACCACTGCCCACTCGGAGGTCGGTCGCACTGGAACTCACCGATTGCGATTCGATCTCCGGGCGCGCCAGTAGAAACGCAACTTTAGAAGAGCTCGTTGTTATTGTTGTGTTGAGTTTGCTGGCCCACCCTCCCTCCCCCCGCACCTCCAATTAGCACGGTTGGCTATGTACGGTGGAAAGAAGTTCAACGTGCATACACATCCATAAATCCAAGGCCGTAATTATAATATATATTGGGGGGGGACACTCCCCCCCCCATATTCAAATATGCTCAAAATGTCTCCGCCCCCTCCCCCCCACATTGCTATTAAATACATTTCTGTTTATGATTGTGGTTATGGTTGTATTCTAGATTTGAAGCTTTCGTGACTGCAAAGAAAATTATAATTTTCTTTTGTTTTATTTTATCTACGTGACTTTACCGAATAAAACCAAAGGTTATGATTGTACTTTATTAATCCCTAATTTCATTACATACAATGAAACAAGGAAAGGTAAAAAAGAAAAAAAAGAGCAATCTAATACAATAGCACTATTAGCCATTGTAAAAAAATATCCTGTTAGTGATTTTTTTAAATATTTTAGGCAGGAAATTCGCTTTCAAATTTATTTTTCTGGGGAGGGGACCCCCAGACCCCTTGGAAAGATGTGGTCCCCCCCCCCCAATGTTGACTCCATGGCTAGGGCCTTGATTAAATCCCTCCGGCCCTCCTGTCCACCTGAGCAGTGGAACATTTGGTGCGACGGTTCGTAGGTGACACGCAGGTGGCGCGCGGTGGGGTCAAGTGTTGGGCACTTCCACCTTGCTCCAAAACGTTGGGGTCAGAGGGGCTCTGTTCAGAACTTCATTGAGGCCACCTCCACCTGCGGTGAATCGAGTTAAAAACAAATCGCAGGGCTGCGATGTTAACTACCTCGCCTTGTTTACAGATGGTCGTGGGTTTGATCCCCATGCCTGTATATTTGGAGTTTGCGCGTTCTCCCCGTGGTCGCGTGAACATTTAACCGGATTAACCGGGGTTTCCCCTCTACATTTAGAAGTATGCGATTTAAGGTATTTGGCTGCTATAAATGTCCACGAGATAAGCCGCTTCGTTGAGCTATCAATTGTGGCCAGGTCGCTTCTGAAAAAGATATATGTAACTCAGTCTTACCTAGCAAAATAAAAAGTTCAGTTTTATAGACATCATAAATCTTGTGCTTAATGTGACTATCGTCTTAGGCGCCGCCAATGATGGATTACCTTCACGTACCATAATTCACAGTCGTTTTCATCACCTTGATGGAAACCTCTCCATTCTATGTTGAACTTATTTCACACCATTACGTAGCCAACCGTGCTCGTCGGGAGGTGCGGGGGAAGGCCAACAAACTAAACACAAAGCAGTTCTAAAGAAATATCGGAAGAGCGTTCCAGACGGCCGCAGAAGCGCATCTGAAAGAGCGCGATGCAGTGACCACCGTATTTGTTCGATGGTTATCCAACAGCCGCTGTGAGGATGACCCGAGTTTACGTGATGGTTTATGCTCCTTGAGATCAGCAGAGGTATTGTGGTTCATTTGTGGTAAGTGCTTTGTGTGTGTAATGAGTGTGACCCTTATGCTTTCATTCGGCAAAGCGGAAGGCAATGCAGCTCGGTGAGCACTGGACGGATTTGCTCCACATTGTCGGTCACGATGAGGGTTGTCTGACCGTACTTCACCACGACGGTCAATGTGTGGATTAAGGGGGGAAAGCGCCCAGGACTGGTCCAAACATCACCCACAGCTGATGTGGTCAGGAATCAAACTCGGCTCAATGGGTTCATAGCATGTTAACCATGATAAAACCTCATTGGAGGCAATATAAATTCTAACTAATAGGGTTTAATGCAAGTGACTCCCATATAGAGGGGTCCTTGGAGGGTTAGAGCCGAGTGATGTGAATTGTACTCGAGCGATATTCTGTATATTACGTCCAAGAAGGGATAGAGAGCAGATTAACTAATGTAAATTATCTGTACTCCATCGCTAGAAATTTACAGCAATCGCCCTTTAGAAACATGAGAATTTACGCCTCCGATTCTGCATTTTTTTCGTGGTTCCTGCCCGCAGTGGTGATGCCAGCGGAATCTATCGAACGCTCGGTCTCTCACCCTTGTCCCTACATCGACCAATCGCTCACGCCACGCTCAAACAGTCGCACCTTCCCAGAGGCGCAATGCCCTCGCCGTGCCACCACCGACCACACAAACAACACCGACAGACATCCATCGACAACACAGTGCACACGCACGCAAAAGCAGAGTATCTGGTGGGGGAAAATTGATGCTCGGGAGTCGCACCTATGAAGGCCGGCAACGGCACGCGAGGGGGGTGGGTGGTTTGCCGTCAGCCCCTGCGCACCTCCGATAAGCACGGTTGGCTAGCTACGTACGGTGCGGAAATACCAAAATACACACAAACTTGGCTGCAAGTCTCCCCAGCGCTGTTTACATTGTACACTGCAGCAGATACTCATGTAAGGCTGAGTAGACTTAGGGGAGCCCAGGATTGGTTAAAATATTCGCCGCTGTTATTGGTCGCGAGCAAGGAATACAAACGCGGGTCGTCGGGTTCGTTAGGGCAGTGCGCTAACCACTGCACCACCGCTTCCCCACACACTACAGGGAGCGCGCACACAAGACACAAAGACTGACCACCACACACACAGGAGGTAATAACGTTCTGGAGAGCCGGATGTATGTTTATTGCGCATTGTTCTGGGACAAGATTAGAACCGCAGCTTCTGGAAGAACCACTTGTTCTTTCCAGTCTTGTACCTGCAACAAAACACACACACACGCGCGCGGGCATGAGCGTGGTCACATTACCGGCACCAATGTTCACAATCGCCACGCACAGCCCTCAATTGCTTTCCCTGCCTCTAGACCAGGGATCGGCAACCTGCGGCTCCTCGTTAAGGACTGCTTCGTGACGTTCTTCACGTGCAAATGTGGCTCTTGAAATTGATTTTTTTTGCTTGTTTAACCCAATTCTAGAAAAATGGCCCCTGTTATTTTAGTTGCCGATCCCCTGCTCCAGACTCAAATCGATATTGCTGCCCCATTGCTCGTGCTGCCTACGACGTCGCACGGAATGTGCCCCATCTCGGCGGGCCTCCAAAACGAAGCAGGGTTGAGAGCCTGAACAGCACTGCTTGGATTGGCAACCAGCAAGCGCATAACAGGTGTCTGTAGAGGCTTCTACTGGGCTACGTTGTGGGCTTTAAGAAGGCCGTGCAAGCAAAAGTCAATGTCGTGCTGTCCTAAGTGCCGATGTAAATGCTCCCCGCGCCCCCACCACCTTCAACCATGCCGCACGGAGCAGCAGTGGCCCTCTTGCTGAGACAGCAGCGAAAGTTATAAACAGTAATTCCAGGTCGAAAGTAGTGCCCCCCCCCACCACTCTAGTACCCAATCAGTGCAGCTGTGGACCCTTGCAGCGACGGATAAATATCATTTGTGGACCACTCTTGAATCGGTGGGGCCTTATTATGTAGCTACAGGCTGTATGAAATTGGCACCCCTGACATTAATAAGTTCCCCCAACTCCTTGCTGCAGCAGCGGTGGACGACTGGCAAGAATCGCAGCAGGAGAGGCGGAGTGTGGAGGGGTCCATCGATTATTTTCTGTGCGAGGATTCTATAACCGCGTCCAGGAGGAGCCGAACGTGGCCTCAAACCACCTCGGGGTTTTCTATGGCAAGCGCTTTAGGAGAGGTGGGGGCAATGAGCGTGCCCCCCCTTGCTGGACGACTTGCGTGCGAAGAGACGGCGGAAGCAGTGTTTCAGGGTGAAATTAGTGACAGAAATATTCGTGGGGTTTTACTCGTGTTGCGTCAGCGGTGACAATGAGCGGACAAAAATAATTCAAGAGCATGCGGATGATGACGACTACCCACTAAAGACACGGCTACCCATTAAAGACAAGGCTAAGACGAAATGAAATTGCCGAGTCTGAATCAAGGCAGAAACTCAATTCCCGAATGGCCTTTTGAGGTCTGTACTCGTCAGCCGTTCATTTCGTTTCACGACACTTGCTTTAATTTTTTAGTCAATGACACCGCACCCCAGCGGAACAACACAACCCACAGGAGAGCTGGAGAGAGGGAGTGCGTCTTAAAAATCCAGAGGATGCGGTATTCTCATATCGTCGGTGCTGCCTCCGTGAAGCTGAGTGCGGTGCCACCACTATCTAGGGCCGAGAGCGGTGCCACCACCCTCTGGAGCAGCGTGCCGGGGTCACTCACCTCTCCTCAAACTTGACCTTGGCCTCGCGGCGTGCCTTGCGCTTGAGCGCTGGGTCCCGGAACACGTCCTTGTTCACCACCGTCTTGTCCAGAGGGATGTCAACCGAGTAGCTGCACCGTCACCACCACACAACACCGGTTCCGTTACATGCACACCACTACGTACACCACCAACGGTACAAGCGCAACATACACCACTACCATTACATAAACCACTACATACAGCACCGCCATTACCATTACATTCACCACCACACCACTACTGCCAACGCTTCCTACACCACCACACACAACACTGATTATTATAAACAACCAAACACACTAATACATACACACACAATCTCTTACGCACAGACACACACGCTACCAAACTTACTCAGTCTCGGCGGGTGTCCGTACACTCTCCTTCATACCGATATCGTGAAGGAACATAACCCATCACGCAAACTCCAGTCATCCTCGCAACGGCTTCTGACTAACCATCGAACAAAGACGGTCACTGCATCGCGCGCTTTCAGATGCAATCCTGCGGCCGTCTGGAACGGTCTTCCTTCGAATATTAGGAAGACACTGGAGCTGTGCACCATGAAATCTAGAATCGCTCTTTGTTTTAGTTGGTTGTCCTTTCCCCGCACCTCCGATCATCACGGTTGGCTACGAACGATGCGAAAGAAGTTCAACACACATACATACATACACTCAACACACGGGGGTCTCACCGGGTGGGCATGAGGTGGTTGTAGTTGAACACCTTCACGAAGCTCTTCACCTTGGAGCGCTTCGCCAGCTTCTTCTTGCCCATGCGCGCCGTCACCTTGCGTGGGTAGCGGTCGATACCGGCGACCAGAGCGTGCCCGTACGGCCGGTCTGCCGTGCCCTCATCCTGGTTCTACACCGGCAGAGGCGGTGGGGGAGGCGGAGGAGGTGCGGGGAAAGACACACTCATACTTTACTACTTGACTTCATCTTAACCAGTTCATAGCTGGCTGCACCGTCTATTCTTAGGGCCCCGCAGCGCCCTCCCGTGGCCAGTCCTGATATTTCACGTGACCAAACGTAGGTTTTGTTTGCAGGCTGAGCGCACAACACTCACACGTGACACGTCTGCTAATTCCTTCACACCTTGTAATTCCCCTCTCATCGCCTCTTTCCCTCCCAAGTTCTTAAAACCTCGCTTCGTCCGAGAAACGTATAAACCCTTAACTTACACCTTCAGTAGTGATGCTGTTCAGGTCACCCGGATAATGTTTTTGTACGAGGATTCTATAACCGCGTCCGGGAGGAGCCGAACGCGGCCTCAAACCACCCCGGGGTTTTCTCTGGCAAGCGCTTTAGGAGAGGTGAGGGCAATGAGCGTGCCCCCCCTTGCTGGACGACTTGCGTGCGTAGAGACGGGGAAGCAGTGCTCGGCGTGAAGTGACGGAAATATTCGTCAACAAAGCGGGGTTTTACTCATGTTGCGTCAACGGTGACGATGAGCGGGCAAACATCATTCAGGTGCATGAGGATGATGAAGACTACCCGCTAAAGACACGGCTACGACGCAACGGAAATTGCCGAGTCTGAATGAAGGCGCAAACTCAATTCCAGAACGGCGTTTTGGGTCTGTACTCATCAGCCGTGATTTTTTTTGTTCGTCGAAAACGAACTCCAACGACACATTCCCACACGTGGCCCCCCCCCAACGGTGGTCGTGAGCAACGGCTCATTACTACGCCTTGAGCGCCGCCAACTCCCTGGCATCTCCGTCGTTACCTTGACGATGACGGCCTTGCGTCCGGCGTAACGCCCAGCCAGCACCAGCACCACCTTGCCCGGCTTCAGGAACTTGCCCATGGCTCTGCACAAGAATACACAAAGAGCACACGTGCATTTTCATCAGCAAGCCACTCCTCTTTTCTCACAAATAGTAGTATCTCCCGCGCGCGGTCGTCTCACTTGTATCATCTGTCGAGCACGAGCTGTTGTCTTCACTTCATGCAGCCCGTGTCCACATAAGCTTCTAAACGGCCCAGACAAAACTGAAGCAACTGCACTAATTTTGCACTAAAGGGGAAAATTTTCAACTTCAAAACCAACAGTGTTTATATGCTAGGTGGCTCAGTAAACGTGAGTCATTACTTTTCGCGGGATTATTCGACAACGATAAGGTGTTAATGTGTGGTTGCTTGCCAAAAGGTAATCCAAAGTCATGAGCCCTTGGCAAGGTAAAACGTTTCCCCCCCCACCCCCGGGTTTATATGCCAGAGATCTGTCACTCAGCATTGGTGAAGACTGCCGAAAGGGAAATGGTGGAGCATAGTTACGGAGTTACAGTGACACACAGGCACGGAGTTACCGGATTATGAGACGTACGCACCCTTTAATTTTTACGTTCACGCACCCTTTAACTTTTACGTTCTAATACAGGGAAGAAATATTGTCTCGTCGTTGCGTTAACAACATTTGTATGGCCCATGGTTCCGAACACTCCCCCCACCGGGGTTTAAATGCTAGAGAAAAGGCTGCTGTCACGACGAACTTTTGGTGAAGGCTGGGAGGGAGGCAAATGGTGGAGCAACGGTGATGGAGAGAGTAGCAGCAGGAGAGGCGGAGTGTGGAGGGGTCCATCGATTACTTTCTGTACGAGGATTCTATAACCGCGTCCGGGAGGAGCCGAACGCGGCCTCAAACCACCTCGGGGGTTTTCTCTGGCAAGCGCTTTAGGAGAGGTGGGGGCAATGAGCGTGCCCCCCCTTGCTGGACGACTTGCGTGCGGAAGGGGACGGCGAAGCAGCGTTCACTTTGGTTCACGAAATTAGCGACGAAAGTATTCATCGAAAAGGGCGGCTGTGCTTTACGATTTTGCTCAATGACACCGTACCCAACGGAACGCGGAACACCACAAATAACCCATTGGAGAGAGGAGTGCGTCTTATAATCCAGAGCAGTGTTCATTTTGGTCGCAAATTTCGTGACGCAAGCATTCACAGAGTGTTTTAATTTGTTTCATCAACGGTGACTGGGAGTGGATGAAAATCAAAAAGCAGGACTATGACGAGACGAGTATGAATAAAAATGCAGGCTAAGATCATTTAGTTCCGTTACTCGAGACTGCAGTACCCCAAGGAAGATCAAACACGGTAATTTTCTATACATGCATCAAATCATACGCCGAGTTCACCGATTGGCAGACCTTGGAGGGAAATATTGAGCACCCCCTCACACCAACATTCAACAACTCGGTGTTTTGACTGCTTTAATCGACGACACGAAAGCCCACAGAGACTCGACAAACATTCCTGCAGGTCGCTCGCTGTCGACGAGGCTTCAATATTTGCGACTAAATGAATCGTCACGGGAACTCGCCCCAACTCGGGTGGACTTCGTGGCTCAAAGGGGAGTTCGTGAGAGACGCCGTGCCGCCCCAGCGCATCGTAGACATCCCCGGATGATTGATAAGACCGCACGGGGTGATCAAACCTCATGGCTCCCCGATTGTACCGCGCGCTGATTTTAGCAGGATGCCTGTGACGTTCCGCTACACGTGTTGGACGCTTCTTTAAGAAACCGAGTCAACGTGCTTCGTACTCGTGCTGGTTGATCAAGAAGCTGCGAGCGCGCGGAGCGAGTGAAACGCCGGACGTGACGCAGAACGCGCGGTACAAATCGGAAAACGCAACGGAGATCCTGGGTTTATCAACACGTGGGAGGCTAGGTGACATATCGATAATCGCCGTTTCAGATCACGAGTTAAAGCCACGGGGTTCTAAGTACATCATGGCCGTGCGATAGTGTGGCTGACGACCTCAGATCAAGGCTTGGGCTAGAGAACACAAGACAGTGAACAATGGAAAACTTTACGTTTGGGTTTAAGGATGAAGAGCTAGAAAGCGTAAGTGGACGAAGAATTGGGTTAGGGCCATCAATTTGTTCGTCATAAGACTCCAGAAGTGGGCAATATGCGGCTCTGGAGCCGCATGCGACTCTTTTGAGGACTGCTTCGTGACGTTATTCACGTGCATTGCGGCACTTTAAATTAAAAAAAAAACTTTTTTGACCGAATTAAAACAAAAACCCGGCTCTGCTTGTTATTTTGGTTGCTGACCCTGGGTCATAGCGGAGGCATTTCACATGGCCATCAACAAAATAACATTCTCAAACCACCAATGGATAAAGAACCCCCCCCCCCACCAAAGATCATACAAACTACAGTACTGTACCAACCATTGTATCGGCATATCGGGAATATAACGACTGACCGCGCCGTCGATAAACTAGGATTTTGAACTCCTTAACTCATACCCACTTATAAGCTCGACACAAGCGAGCGCATTCGACATCCGTTAACATTCGCAACGTCAATGTGCCGTCTTGGTCTGTCCCTACGCGTTAACACTTCAGCCACACGTTCACCGGCCGTGTCACCTCCTTATCACTCCCGATATCGCGACTGCACCGTCTACAGTGACCCAAAACGTAACTACGTCGATTCATTCCATGTCGAGACTCGGGGGAGGGACTCAACAGAGCGTCTCATCCACGCCCGTGTTTAACCACCAGCACCACAAACACCGTGGCTCACAACTGGACATCTATCAAAAAAGGGCTTCAAAGCACATTCGATGGTTCTGTATTATTCTATATTATGGATTCTGATTTTCTTTCCGCTTTCCCAGCGACGCTCCACTTTTGGAATTCCCATCGTCTCACTTCACCAATGCAAGGTTTCAACCAACCTCTCATAACTTGGTTCTCGTCAATTAAAGTATTGACTCTGCATCGATTACAACTTTTAAAGTTATGTTGTTTGCATGCCACTCGGGGTTTGGGGCCTGCGATTCACCAACGGTAGGTTTTAAAACAGAAGTCCCCACACAATAATGAACACCACCACCACCCGATTTAGCTTTCGGCGTACGCGACAACAATTAACCACACACCAGCCACAACCACTCACCCACTGCTGCCAATCGTAACACATTTCAAACAGCTTTAAAAGTTATGTTACACTACTGTCACGTGTCGCAGCGATGGACCATTACAGCGGAGCCTCGGCCCAGCTCAGGCGAGCGCTGGCTAGGGTCACGTGAACGGCTATCGTTTTAACACCTCTCGCCGTCGACGCAAAAGAAAGACGACGTCGAACGCGCGGTGCGATCACACGACGCGCGGACGCCAGACGTGGCGACGATTGGCGACGAAAAGGCGAGATCGGCGGCGGATTGCGAGTGCGGTACCTACAACTATGGCTGTTCCCACAGCGAGAGCCGGAACGAAGAGGAAGTGGCGTCACGGGAAAAGGCAGTTGGCGCCAGGCGATCGACGTCACTTCCGGGGAGGTGTGGGGGGGGATAATCGATTCCCGCCTCTAATCGATCAAGGTTCAGAATTCGATTAATTCATCGTTTGGTGAACCTGCGAGTTGATTGGATAATTAATCAATGTATTTACAAAACCTGAGCACACTGCAGGTCACAACCCCACACACCAACTCACTCAACACACGCAGGCCGCAGCCACACAGCAGCCACAACCACTCACCACACAACCACTCACCACACAGCAGCCACAACCAATCACCACACAACCACTCACCACACAACCAATCACCACACAACCACTCACCACACAACCACTCACCACACAGCAGCCACAACCACTCACCACACAACCACTCACTACACACTCAACACACACCAGCCACAACCACTCACCACACAACCACTCACCACACACCACACAACCACTCACCACACAACCACTCACCACACACCACACAACCACTCACCACACAGCAGCCACAACCACTCACCACACACCACACAACCACTCACCACACACCAGCCACAACCACTCACCACACACCACACAACCACTCACCACACACCAGCCACAACCACTCACAACACAACCACTCACTACACACTCATCACACCAGCCACAACCACTCACCACACAACCACTCACCACACAACCACTCACCACACAACCACTCACCACACAGCAGCCACAACCACTCACCACACAACCACTCACTACACACTCACCACACACCAGCCACAACCACTCACCACACAACCACACACCACACAACCACTCACCACACAACCACTCACCACACACCACACAACCACTCACCACACAGCAGCCACAACCACTCACCACACACCACACAACCACTCACCACACACCAGCCACAACCGCTCACCACACACCACACAACCACTCACCACACAGCAGCCACAACTACTCACCACACACCAGCCACAACCACTCACCACACAACCACTCACCACACACCAGCCACAACCACTCACCACACAACAATTCACCACACAGCAGCCACAAACTTTAATAAATAAATATAGAATTGTTATAACAACACTTCTACAACATCAGAGTGCAGCGCCACATTAAACACGCACTACAATGACAATAGTTTAAAGCGATTTGAAGCATGTTTTATTTTAAAAATGGAAATGTTTTTTTTGGGGGGGCAGAACTTTGTGACGTCATATTTGAGGGGGGGGGTCTGACTTTTTGTGACGCCGTGTGACAAGGGAGGGGGGGTCAAAAATCGTCAAAAATCGCGTGACGTCATTTATGGACGGCCCCTTATTTGGGGGGACCTTCGGTGTCCTGTTTGCTCAAGCAGCCGCGATTTTAAAGAGCAGCCCCCCTGCCCTTCACGCGTTCGTGCGCCAGAGGGCGGTATCCAACTCAGACTTGGCATCGCGAAGGCCCTGTCCGCAACCCACCGGCGTCGGCGAAGCTTCTTGTTGTTGTTGTTGTTTGCAGAGGTTTGCGCTGAGTCTCCATTGGCCCCTCCTCACCAGTAGACATTCCCTCTTCCCTATTAGTGCATTGCCTTTCGGACAAAGACGGCGGTCAACGCATCTTCACGGCGCCTTCCCGTGATGCTTTTGCGGCCGTCTGGAACGCACCTTCCTTCCGACATTAGGAAGCCAGTGGAGCTGTGCAAATAAAAAATTTGTGAACTGATTTCTTCAGAACTGATTCTTGTTTTTAGTTTATTGCCCTTCCCCCGCACCTACGATTAACACGGTTGGCTATGTACGGATGGTTAAGAAGTTCAACATACATGGACACGGCGTTACCTGGTCTAACACTGGTGAGGCAATGTCATTAAGAAGGTCGTCTCTGGTGTAGGCCAAGCAGTTTCAAAGACGATGCTTATAAACTATCATCAACGCGTGTTTGTGTGCATGTTTTACCACAAGCATGATGTGTGATGCCTTGCTACAATAGGTATCGTCTAGTTGGTGTTTGAACATCTTA